CCCAGGGGCTGAAAGCAACAATAAATACAAGAGCAAGTCCTCAACATCATGGCAAGTGTATTAATTCCTGCTTTGCCTCTGTGGTAAAACATGACCCAGGCAGCTCATAGAAGCAAGGGTTTATTTGACGTATGGTTCCAGAGGGATGAGTCCATCAAGACAAGGAGGCATGGTGGCAGGACCAAGAAGCTGAGAGCATACATCCCTAGCTGCAAATACAAAGCAGAGACAGTGATCTGGAAGCCTTTAACTCTCAAAGTCTAACCCCGGGTGACATTATTTTAATTCCCTATGAACTCTCCAAACAGCACCACCAATTGGGAACCAAGTGTTCAAATGCATGAGTGTATAGAAGACATTGCTCTTTCAAACCACTACAGCAAGCATATTTAGGCATTGTGTGATCCTTTCTCCAGGGAGATGTTAACAAACATCTACTCAGCCCAGATAAGCCATCAATGACAGACCAAAGTAAAGATGCCACCACAGTCCAACTCAATGAACCAACGAATTTTATTGGCATGCCTTCCTGGAGTGTGAGTAGAAGCATAAATGACTAAAAGACAATTGTATCAACATAACCCCACCCTGTCATGGGTGACAACTCATGAACGCTAGACACCCAGAGCCCACTGCACAACTGTCCTAGTTAGAATTACTATTGCTGTGATGAAATACCCTTACCAAAGTAGCTTGGGAAGAAAGGGTTCATTTCAGCTTGTACTTCCAAGTATTAACTCATTACTGAAGGACATCAGGACAAGAACTCAAACAGGGCAGGAACCTGGAGGTAGGATCTGATGCAAAGGCCATGGAGGGGTGCTGCTTACTGTCTGGTTCCGTATGGCTTGTTTAATCTGCTTTCTTATAGAACCCAAGACCACCAGGCCCAGGTATGGCTCCATACACAATGGTCTGGGCCCTCCCGCATCAGTCACTAATTAAGAAAATGACTTACAGGCTTACCTACAGATCAATCTTATGGAGAGAATTTCTTAATTGAGGTTCCCTCCTTATAGACAGTCAACTCTAGCTTGTGCCAAGTTGATATAAAACTAGCCAGGATAACAACCCTTTAGGTGGTTCAAGCAGTCTAAATCTCTTGGAGGCAACTGGCTGGTCGTCACTCCCAGGAGCTTGACTTGTCTGAGAGTATCTATCGAACAGTCTTTACTGTTTGCATACACTTGGGAAGGGAGGACCCTAATGCAACTAGTCAGTTTCAAGAACTTCCAGAAACTTCGGAGTTGTTTACTTCCTGCGTCTTAATGACCTTCCCAGCAGGAAGGAATGTTTCCCTCTCTATAGCATATCCAGAGCCTTAAGGCACTGCCCTGCAGGGTGAAATGTTTCAACTCAGAGGAAATTGCTGCATACTGTCATGTGGGAACACCAGACCTTGAGCAGAGACCCACTTCCCCTTCTGCCTGGGAGTAGGCAGCTGTAAGACAAGGTTTAGTAAAAACATGTTTACTAAAAACAATAGAATAAGTTCCTGGAAAAGGCCTTCCCACGGAAACTGCCCTGACCTCGACCTTGTCCAAAGACTAACTGCACCTTCAAAACTCACACACATCCACCTCTGGGGTCAGAGCAGAACCAGCCAGGGTAGAGGAGAGAGCAGAAGCTTCTCTGGTGGGAGCTTTTCTTAGGAAGTTTTCTTGAACCTTTTTGGAGCCTGTTTAAAGTTTTCTTTATATCGTTGAACGAGTCTCTGTGTTGTCAATCCCCGACACCCTCCGCATGTTCTCGGACACAGGCCGCGCAGCAGACGCGACACTGTCAGGCCAGGAAGCAGTAGTAAATAAATAAATAGTAGCTGAGTAGACACAATGGAGTTACTGTGATGGTCAGTTCAGGAAGGGGAAGAGAGAGGACAGGGAGTATGGGGTTACTGGAGAAGGCTTTTTGGAGAATATGTTATGTAGAGGGAGACTTGATGAGGAGCAGGAGAAAAGTGGGCTTCCACCTAGGAAAGAGGGCTCAGGCAGAGCAATCAGTCATACTGAGGCTCTGCAGTGGGCTCCTGTAGAGAATGAAGAACAAGGAACCGCAAGGTAAACAGCAGGGTGAGCCAGAGCAGCACTAAAGATATGATATAGATGCTCATGGGCCATGGTGAGCATCTGGGGACTTATTCAGGGTGTGCTGAAAACACCCCCAAGAGAGATTGTACACACAACTAGCGCAATGTGACCCATGTTTGAAAGCATGCATTTAAGTGTGAGGTTTCCTTCCCATTCCAAGCTCAATAGCAGTGTTTTCAGTGATGTCCATCCTGTCACCTCTGCCATGACTCAAAATCTCCATGTTTGCCAAAGCTCCTGTGGTGGTTTGAATGGGAATGGCTCCTTCGATGTTCGAATACTTGGTCCCCAGTTTGTGGAACTGTTGGTAAAGATTAGAAGGTATGGCCATGTTGAAGGAGGTATGTCGTGGGGGGGCATCATTCATAGCCCCACCCCAAGTCATTTTTGTAGGACGAATCGTAAGCTTTCAACTGTTCCTGCCACTATGCCATCGTGAACTGTATCCCTCTGGAACAGTGAGCTCTAATTAAATGCTTTCCCTAATAAGTTGCCTTGGTTGTGGTGTCTTATCACAAGAACACAAATGTAGATAAGACAGCCCTCATTGTGTCCCTCATGATTTCAACTGGCTTCCACTAAAAGTTATAATCTAATATGAGACAATTAAATGAACAGTTGAAGTGCTGATTGTAGTGGAAAGGGTCAGCCAAAGAAACACACCCTGAACAGAGCCAAAGAAACATTCTTTGGCCCTGCAACCAGAACCAAAGAAACGCACCCTGACCCTGAAACCAGTGCCAAAGAAACACACTTAGTCCCTGGAATCAGAGCCAGTGAAAGAAATACACCCTGTCCCTAAAACAAGAGCCAAAAGGCTAAAAAAGGACCAGTGAAAGAAACACACATTGACCCTGAAACCAGAATCAAATCTGACCCTAAACCTGTTTAGAAAACTAACCAATCCCTGAGCAGATCTAGCCATCCTAAGCTCAGGGATTGAAATCTGACCAATCACCACCCTGGAAAAACTCTGCCCCCTAAAAGTCACTATATAAACCCTGTGTCTGTTCACCTTGTGGCTGTTTGGGCTGCCCAGTTGTCCTCTGCCACCCTGGCAGAGGGCAGCCACTCTACTGGATTCTTCCCTCCCAATAAATCTCTTGAATGAGGTTTGGTAAGACCTTCTTTCGCCAGAGCAGTGATGGCCCTGGGTGAAGCAGAGCGGAACAGGACTGTAACACCTTTCGCTAGAGCCAAACTGTAACAACTTGGGGGGGGGACCCTCTCCTGAAGGAGCAGAGCTGATACACTGGGGAAGCCTTTCCTTGAAGCAGGACTGTAAGCTGCTATGCTTACTGTGACCTGTGGTTTTCCTTGGCTCCCGAGTGCCAGAATACCTTTCCATCTGAGCTGTAACACCCAGTATTCTGTGACTCTTGAGTGCCATCCAAGCTGTAACACTCAGTATTCTTTGGCTCCTGAGTGCTATAACCCAACCCTGTTCATCCCATCCAGTCCCTCAAAATGCTTACACTGATGGCATGAACTTTTGGTGGGGCAGCATAGAGGCCCTGTGAGCCTCAAAAAAGGGCCACTCACACAGGCATGGGAAGTTGGGCAGCTCTGAGGGGACATGGCACTGAACTCAAGAGTTAACTGTGGGGCTGGAGAGATGGCTCAGGGGTTAAGAGTACTTGCTGCTCTTCCAGGGGTCCTGAGTTCAATTCCCAGCAACCATATGGCGGCTTACAACCATCTGCTATGAGATCTGGTGCCCTATTCTGTCCTGCAGGCAGACATACAGGCAGAATACCATATGCATAATAAATAAAAATCTTTTTTAAAAAACACTTGAATGATAAGGAGGGGTTGGCTAGGAACAGAGGAGCCATGCTCTTGGCAAAAGAATCAGTGTTCTGTAGCTATCATGGACTTGGTTTCCTTACCCATATGTCCTTCAGTACCTACCAGGCCAACTCCATCGCCAGCCAGACTGGGCAAAACAAAACCTATTCTCCTGATGAATAATGGTGCAAAAATCTGCCATCCTTGGCTCCAAAACAAAGTTACATTTTAATCTCAGCTGAGCCTTTGACTACACAGTACTTCTTCTTTCCTTGATAATTAGGAGCACATTCAGAAAAGCACATTCTCCAGACTTCTGTGTTCTGAGACCTGATCTCATAATACAATGGGACTCTGAACTCCTTGTGTACATCAAAGATTGCTTATTTCTGCAGTCATCTCCTTCAGTGGTCTCAGAAAAAAAAGATACAACCATTCTTCTGTAAAATAACTCCTGGAGAGAGATTAGGCTTCTATCCGTCCTTGCTGGATTGTACTGCTGAATAACTTAATAGACTGGGTGATAAAAGTTCTTTTTTTATAGAAGGATTCTACCTACAAATGTGAGTGGAATACAGAATTAGAAAATCACTCCTGTTTTGTGCAATCCTACTTGGTTTGAGTGAAAATCATGAGCAGATGAAACAATGAGCTCACAGATTCACAGGGAGATGCTTAAGGAGAGTCCAGTCACCAGAAAACACTACTCAGTCTTACCACAGTCACTAAGAATGGGATGCCCAATGGTAGGGATCTCCTGATGAGCTAAAATACACAGTAATTTTGCCTTTACCCTGGGGTCACTAGAAAACTTTACCAAATACTGATACGTTTTACTTTTAAGGGTCTGGGATACACTCTGGGCATAGAGGCAGTATAAAGTACCTCTAAAGTTGAGGCCACTGCCACATGGGATACATATTACCACATAAACTCAGGCTGACCAAGTCTCTCAAGTTTGTCTCTAGCTGGAGAAATTTCCATGAATTGAACATTGCATTGCTCACCAAGGTAGATGATAAAAAGCCCCACAATTCTCCTGGTGGACCAACACTCTTGACTGTCTGAAAGAGTGGGCAAATCCCGCCCTGCCCTGTGCTGCTTCTCCTTTGGGCCACACATTACCTTGTGAAATATGCCTTTACTGATTGAAGCTCTATCTCCAAGAGAGTCTTGAGTAAACTCAGACTTGGCCATGTTCCATAAGTTCCGTTGAGACTATCGACTTCCTGTCTAACAATGTGGTGAAGAACGTTGTGACAGCCCTGATGACTGCAACAGAGAAAAGGCCATGCTAGTGAGAAGGGAGAGAGCCTCTCCTCCATGATTTCAGTAGTATAAATGCATTTTAAAGCATAAAACAAAGGCATAAAACGGTCACAAGTATGTTATTATGTGATGTTCTGTTGCAAAACTCCGTCAATCACACTTTTTAGTTTTCTAAAAAAAAAGTCAAAATACAGCCTAATTACTTGGATGCATAGAAAGATTGACTTTAACACGATCGCCACTGCTCGGTTTCATGTGGGGAGCTTGCAGCAGAAAAGCCGCTCTGAAAGATGTGCCCAGTGATGCAACTGTTAGGGGAGTATCTGTTAATCCTGAAATTCACCAGAGAAAAACCAGCCCCACCATTTCTGGCCAAATTTAAGCAAGCTTTTATTAAAATGTTAAATACTGACCAAGATGGAATTTGGTCAGGACCGACCATCACCTGGGAACTTTCCAGGTGAGTGACCTTGAGACACATGTTGGCTGGCTTATAAGGACAAAACCCATAGGTCACTGTATTTCCCATGAGACTTCATTGTTATTTTCTAAGAACTACAATTCCCAGAATCCCAGGAAGTTACCCGGTCCTTGGGCAGGTGGGGCTTTCAGGTTACCTTCGGGTCTAACATAAGCAACCACTTTCTGCTTGGGTTTGAGTCCACTTCATAGAAGAAATTCGCACCTGGCACTGTAAACCTAGTCAAAAGCCCTTGGCTAGGGAGGTTCCTAACAGGAAACCTTCTATGATTGGTTTGGCAAAGGGAAATGATGTCAGGCTTCCTCCTAAATATTTACGGATGTGCTCATAGATTAGTGCTGCTCTCATCCTAGTTCGAGAAGCTTCTGTTTGCAGAGGGAGACGGTTAATGTAGAGAGGGGCAGCTGGTCAAAGTGCCGAGGATAAGTGACTGCAGCGTACTTAGCCCTTCGCAGAGAATAATGTCTCCTCCCCACCCCACCCCCAAGGTTAAAGGTACACTTCCAGAAGGGACAGGAGCAGAATGTAAGAGCAGGAGGATGGGGAAGAGAGCTAAAAAACAGTCTTCTGGGCAGACATGGCTGCCATACCCATGAACCCACAGCTGTGGGGCTCACTTCCACCATAGATGGGGGAGGGGCTCATAGGGTCCCATAACTCTCTGATGAGTACGGGCCCTTAACAATTGCTTGCGAGGTAGAGTCAAATTCCTTATTGGTACAGCCACTGGAAGGTTGCTGGTGCTCAAATTAAATACCCCCACCCCAGGCCAAACCCCTGCAACCAATCCTCCTCAATAGAACACAAAACAAAACCCCACAACAAAATGTGTGAAAGCAGGAGACTTACTTGGGAGGAATTGAGTATAGGGGATGGCTAATGGGGGTGTCATCAAAATTCATTGTATGTACATGTATGTGTGTGTGTGTGCACGTGTGTGTGCGTGCTGTGTGTGTGTGTATGAATTAAAATTTTTATCCAAGTAGCTGGAACTCAGAATTGTCTGTGCATTAGGGGCAATGTCTAACTTGTGAAAGCCTCAGACGTGGTCCTCAGAACAGCACCTGCCAATTAGTGTTGAAGAGAACAAGCCTAAGGCAACAGCAGTAATCACGTGATGTTTCTGAGATAGAGAAAAGGCACGCGCGTGTGCGCGCGCACACGCACGCAGCACGCACGCGCACACACACCCTCTGCCTCCACTCCTAGAAATACCAGGTTTGAACCAAGGGCCTCACACATGCTCAGAAAGCAGTTTATCCGAGCTTCCCGTAGCCCCCAGCTCTACACTGGCCCCTGTGCTGATGCCCAGGACTGTGTCGCTCAGCGCTCAGATCTTGCCAGGGTAGGGCTGTTCCAGGGGCAAGGAGGCCTGCATTTGCTACAGCATGCTCCCACCCCCACCCCCGGCCAGTAATTAATGTGTCCTGTTCCCCAAGCCAAGTGCTGGGGCGCTCAGTCTTGAGCCTCCCGCAGGCCTGGAAGGAGGACCCTGCGGACTGTCTGCCTGTTGCTGGCGGTTGTGGGCGGTGAGTGGAGGCGCTTGTTGGAATGCTCCAGGGAACAGATGGCGTTTGATGGTGGCAGCTTGATGTATAGTAACTGACAAACTACTCATCGTGAGGGGCGGTCCGGAAGGAGGCTTGCTGTTGAGTGGGCGAAGGGGATCACAGGGAGGGAAGTTGGCAAGCTGGAAGGCACCATGTGGTAGAGGGCGGAGCTGCGGGCAGCCTGCTCCTAAGTGAGGTGAACGGGCCTCACCGGCTAAGCACCACTTAGCAAGAGAAGCACATTGGGTTACATTTGCTCCGCATCTCACAGAAACAGCTCCTCGGGAGTCCAGAATCAGTAGTGCTGTGAGAGGCAGGGCAGCCTTTCTTTTCTTCTTTTTAAAAATGTTATAAAAGGCGGGGGGGGGGGGCGGGGGTGGAGCATCTCTGACAGCGGGAAGCAACAGGTACCAAACTATTAAAAGAAGAAGCATGGGGGGGGGGGACATAAGAGGGGGAGGGAGGCACACATCAAAACAGTTTCCCACAGAGCAGAAGGGGGATGGGATGGTGGGAGGAAGAGGGAATTGGGATTGATGCGTAAAATACGATTGTTTCTAATTTAAATAAAAAATAATCCAGGAAGAAAAAAGAAAGTTTCCCACAAAGTGGAGAGGAGATTCCGAAACAGACATCTTACCCCACTTGGAGGGCCTGAGTCTTTCACGTGACTTTTAGTGGTATAGGGTTCCCCCCCCCCCCCGTGTGCGCGGGCTCCAGTTTTGATTTAGTTAACGTAATGAAAGTGGCACTGATAGGGCCGTAGCTTCATATTAGCTGAAACAGGTTTAGCAGATGCCTTGAACACATCTGAGCAGCCTGGACTAATCAGCCCAAAGGGAGGCCGTACTGGGGAGAGAAAGCCAAAACGGCCTTTGTCTCAGGTCGGGGTGAGGAAGAAGATGAAACTTGCAGACTTCGTTATTTTTCTGCCAGTCAGGAATCAACGCCCACTGCAAGTGTTCCTAATTTGTGGAGAATATAAAGATCTGCTGAGTCCAGCTGTCTGTCGTTACCTTTGTAAGGGCAAGGAAGATCGAGATTCAGAGCCCTGGCCACAAACAAACCAGCTAGCTGACTTCTTTCTGGGAGCGGCCCCAGAGTTCTGTTCCGTTGCATCCTCTTCCAGACAATGGCAGGGGATCCAGAGGCAAGAGCAATTGACTGTCACTCAGCGCTGCTGGGCCCACAGTTTGGGGCCACTTGGGGCACAGGGCTGTGGCGACACAGCTCACTCCTGCCCGCTGTGGAGGACCACTGTGGGAAACAGCTGGAGGGCCAGAGTGTCTTGATGGACAGAAAGGACAAGGGTTGAGAAGTGAAGGAGCCTTGGCAGACCCTGACCATCCAGATAGGCAGGCATCCCCTTTGCCCAGAACCCTGCAGGGTTAATCTGCTCTGGCCCAGCCAGGTAATAAGAATGGCAACCCTGGAGGGTTTCCTTCACGGAAATAAACATCGCACAGCCCATTTGCTTTGATCACTGGAGCAACAGGGTTTTCCCCTGACAGCTCTGACATTCTGTCAACCATGTGGGAAGTCATTCCTGCCTGCCCACTGTGCTCCTGTTTATACTGTTTGCTGACACCCTTGAAAAAGAAAGGCTTTTGCACTTAATCTGAACCAATTCCTGTTACAAAAACATTATTTCCAATGTCCAGTTTCAAAGCTCCCTTCAAAAGCGGGGGTGGGGTGGGGTGGGACAGACAGCTAGGGGTGAAGCTCGGTGGTCTACGGCTTGCTTAGTGCTCGATGCAAGGGCCTGGGCTCCACACGCCCAGCACTGCAGTATGCTGGAGGCTGGGCTACAGAATCTGGAGCCGAGGCCATCTTACACTGATGGGGAGACTAGCAGGATGGTCAGAGAAGAAATTGGCGCTCAGCTAAGAAAGATGGGAAGCAAGGATCCCACCAGACTTGGCTTTATAGAGCAGTGGTTCTCAGCCTGTGGATTGTGACCCCTTTGGGGTCGAGCAACCTTTTCAAAGGGGTTGTCTGAGACCACCAGAAAACACAGATACTTACATTTCAATTCATAACAGTAGCAAAATTACAGCCATGAAGTAGCAACGAAAATAATTTTATAGTTGTGGGGGAGTCACCACAACGTGCAGAACTGTATTAAAGGGTTGCAGCGTTAGGAGGGTTGAGAACTACTGATCTAGAGGCTTTACAGTCCTTTCCACCCACTGGCTTACATTTGCACATTTGCTGTGGACAAATCTTCCACACATGGTCTTATCTAATCCTCGGAACCCTGGCATCCGTGAATACCTTTTAAGCTGCCATTTTACAGAGGTGAAAACTCGGGCTTAGAGATGGGAACACACAGTCCACCACGGTTTAGGAGGAAACACTTGTCTGTGAACAGAGGCTGTTTCTGCCTGCATGGCCAGGCTTGCATCCTCTCCTCTCGGGTTTCCTTAACTGCAAGCGTAGCTGACCAGATGGTCACCATCACCATCCCATCCCAGCAAGCCTGCCGCGGTCCTGCCCAGGAGGACAGAAGGCTAGTTACAGGGGACCTTAACTCTGCAGGGCCTGCTGGGACATCTGCTCATGTGCTGCGGTTCACACCTCTGTCTCTACAGTTACACAGTTACAGTTTCTTAATCATATTGGTAAGACTTTCAGAGTTCCATTAACACTCCCATAGGACAGAACATGCCAAATTGCTAATAGCACCCTGGGGAGTTTCACCTCGCACTGTCATCTGCTGTTCGTGAGATTTTTTTTTTAAGCTCATGTTTAAGCTTATTAAATTGTTGACTCTTGGTTTAAAACTAGGCAACTCTGGACCAGCACCCAAGCAAAGGTGGAAAGGGGGGCTGTGCACCATTCGCTGCTGTGAAGGGAACAGCCCAGGGACTGGGAGCTGCCCAGTTGCCTTTGGGAAGCTTCCATTTGCTGGGGAGAGTGGTCACCAGGTGAGTTAAAGCGTCAGCTGCAGGCTGATATGAGTAGATGCCCTCAGAACTGGAGAGGGAAGCAACGGAGCTTGTGAGGCAAGGTGGACAGACTGAGTTTGAGCCTGGGCTTTGTCAACGAGATGCCGTGAGCTAATCCAGTCTCCCCCCCTCCCTCCCCCCCCCAGCATTTGTTTTATCACCCTTAAGGGGGTGGCTTGTATTTCATTAACATATAAGCACATCCAAAGACAATGATTTGAGTGTAAGGGAAATGTTTGGGAGATGATCCCAGGAAGCCCTGGTAAGACAGTAGGGAAGTTGGATGGGGGAAATCTATCAATAAGCAGGTCACCACACCATGCTGTGGGAGCCCCGTCCTGTTGCAGTGAAGAAAGGGTGTGTGTCCACTAACTTGCATCCTAATTGGTGGGGCTGTTCCTGGGGCATTAATGGCTTAGCATTGTTGAACATCCTAGTGCACAGGCTGAGAACTTGCTAGAGGACTTGAATGAGTGTCAGGATTTTGAGAAAATAATTTGTTTTCCTATTACCCCTTTAAGGACTGGAAAGAGTAACTTGCTTAGATTATACTGCTGGTAGCTGGTAAAACCAGCCTTGTATCTGAGTTGTCTGGTGTGAGTAACAATTATACTAGAATGGTTTTCTGAATTAAACTATAAAGAAGAGGAGGAAGAAGAAGAAAGAAGAGGGGGAAGAAAGAAGGAGAAAAGGGAAGGAGGAGGAAAGGAAGAAGGGAAGGAGAGAAGGAAAAAGGGGGGAAAGAGGAAGAGGAAGAAGAAGGAAGAGGAAGCAGCAGCAGCTCTCATCTGTGGCTGATTTCCTGAAGCCTGTCTTTCAGTGTTGTGGTGGACCTGTCTTAGTCTCAGGGAGCCCAAACAGGTAAGTCTTCCTAGAAACATGGACTCCCGAGGCACGAATCAGGGGACTCATCCAGGACTTCAAACCCAACTGCAGGAAAAACCAGCAGGCTAGTGAATCTGGAGATTCGGGTCAACATTTCCCTTTCTCTACTCCAAACCTCCACAAGGAGCTTAGGTCAACATGAAGCTTAATCCATCAAGACCGGCAGCTTGCAGAGATGACACGTAATAGGTTCAAGATGAATGTCCGTGTCACAAGTCTACCCTGTGATGGAAATGACTCGGTCCTTGGCTTCCACAAGCTCATACTCTGAGGAAAAATGAGAAATGCAGATGAATAGTTGCGACTCTGGGTGCAGAAGACAGACATGGAGGTGAAGCAGAGGAAGAAAGGCATGTCACAAGGGCTCCTCAGGAAACATTCAAGTGGTTGCAAACAGGAATCACAGGCAAAAAGGTCGGGAGTGTATCCACCTCAGGAAACAGCGTGACTCTGTTGTGAATCCTGGAAAACGGCAAGAGCTTCCTCACCCCAGATGTGTGTGACCCAGGGCTTGAGGATGCCTGATGCTCAGTGGGCATCAAAAATCAGTCTGAAACTATGTATGCTGCCTAGTTTCATGTCAATTTGACACGAGCTAGTCATTTTTGGCAGGCAGAACCTCAACTGAGAAAATGTTCCTACCAGATTGGCCTGTAGGCAAACTTGTGATGCGTTTTCTTGACTGTTGATTAATATGGGCCAGCCTAGCTCAGTGTGGGAGGTGCTACCCCTGGGCTGGCAGTCCTAGGTGCTATAAGAAAGCAGGTTGAGCAAGCCATGGGAACAAGCCAGTGAGCAATATTGCTCCATGGTCTCTGCTTCGGTCCCTGCTTCTAGGTTTCTGCTTGAGTTCCTGCCCTGTCTTCCCTCAGTGATGTGAGGGAATGTGACCTGAGAGTTGTAAGATGAAATAAACCCTTTCCCACACAAGTTACTTTTAGTCATAGTATTTTATCAGAGCAATAGAAACCCCAGCTAAGACACTGCCTCATGGCAGCAATGATTAAAGATACGAACACACAGGGATAAGCTAACTAAAGTAGGTTTTATGGAGGAAAATTGAAGGAAAGGAACAAGACCACTGTCAGTAGGTAGGATCACACAAGGGTTGCCATGGGGGTTTCTTGTATAGTGTTTTGGGAACTTTAAAAATTATGTGTTTGTGAGTGCATGTGTGGAGGTCAGGAGACAACCTCTATGAATTATTTTTTTCCACTGTGTGAGTTCTGGGAGTCAGACTCAGGTCATCAGGCTTGGTGGCAACTGCCTTTACTTGCTAAGCCATCTTGCTAGCCCCATGGGGAACTTTAACAAGAATTTTGGTAGGGATTGGACAAAACCTGGGGTAATTTCTATGCGACTAGTCAGTTTTCTGAACGTACTATCGGTAAAGCCAACCAAACTGTCTCTAAGTCTGTATGCTCTTCTGTTCCAACCAGAGAGATGATCACATGCTGCTCACCAGGTGAGGGTGGTTGAAGTACACTTCTGTCCTCCTCCAGTTTCTGCTTTGATATTGCTGACTTTGACCCCCTCCTGACCTCTAACTGGCTAGTGGCTGACTCTGGGTATTGCTAGTCTTTGACCTTGGTTTTTGCCTTGCTGTCTATTAAACTCATCTCCTCATTCTTTGTGTTTGCATGGCTAACTTGTAGTTTCTACCATGGGCCTTGCCCTTACTACATACAGAAAGCTAGTTCCTACCACAACTCCCTTGAACAATCACCAGCAGTTCCCTGAGTGCACCATATTGGAGTAGCAGTGAGGTGCTGTGTGAGATGAGTCCCTGGGGAATTAGTATGGAGGTGTCCCGCTTGGAGCTGGTCTTTCTGAAGCCCCTAGTATTCTCTTTGGTCGGATTAATCTGTTCATGCTGTGAACTATGGCACTCGTGCAGTGTCTTACACTGTGATGGCTAAAGAAACTCCATTTTGTGCTAGACATCCAGCTTGGTACCTGTTAGCCATTTGTCTCTGACTCAAGTTCTCGGAAGACAAGTTCCAGCAGCCCTGATTTCTTGACCCCCACCCAGAAATGTACAGTCATGACCATCTGCTCGTTATCCTATGACTGACTGCTGATTTTTGGCTTACTTGCTTATTCAGACCTTCAAGGACTCTTTTGAGTTCACCTTGACCATCTGATCTTGGCAGAGAAAAGCAGCTCTTGCTGCTTTTGACTTTAGAAGCCCTTCCTTCTCCTGCCTCTGGGCACACATCTCTGATCTGGGTTAGAAACTGGGGCCCTGCTAGCAGCTTTAATAATCTGCTCAATTATAATCTGAATTGAGTCTAGGGTTCTTTTGCTGGTGGTCTCCAATTCCTTAACAACATCATGAAGGACATATGTGGTGGCTCTGCGAGTTGCAGCTCTTTCCTGCACACACATGAGCCCAAAGGTCAGAAGGGTTTACCAAGGTGATGACACACAGCATGTTTCAGGAGGAGCACTAGAGCATGACAAATTAGTGATATATGAAAGAGCAGGCTGAGATGCTACACCCGGGTCTGCAGCAGATGCACAAGTTAGGGAAGTGGGGGACGAGAGACTGCTTTTACAGGGCGGAATGGGAGGAAAGATGATGGAAACATGATGTTGCATGCTGAAGCCAGGAGGAGAGACAGGGAGGAGAGAAGGAAAGAGGGGGAGGATAGAGGAGGAGAGGCCAGCCCTGTCGCCTATACCCCTGGTGGAGTGCTCAGACCATCTGGAGCAGGATGGGGAGGGAAAGAAGGGATAGGGAAAAGAGAGGAGGGGAGGGGAAGGAAGAGAGAGGAGAGGGAAGTGGGGGAGACAGGGAGACTCTGGAGGAATAGAGGTTAGCCCAGAGAGAATGGACTGTGAAAAGGACCAAGGATAAAGATGTCAGTGAACGCTGATGCCTTTGAGACAGGCATGGGGAGGAAGTTGCACTAACAAACACTGCCCTCTGTCTTTTCTGTTAAACAAGTTTCTGTAGAGACCAGGTCACGTGATGGGGTTCTGAGGAAGAGACAGTTGCTTGCCAGGAGTGCACGAGGAGCTGACTGGGGACACAGAGAAGGACTGCCAAGCACATACTGTCTTCTCCTGCACTGAAAGCTGTCATCAGTCAGGGGACCAGATGGAAAGATGAGGTAAGACTCCCCCAGCACAGGAACTACACCCTATTAGTGAAGCAGGTACCTCTAGGTACAGAATTATCCTCCTGGACCAGCAGAGGGTCATTGGTGCTGATGGAGTGATGTGTTCATGGGTGCCTTCCCCAGTGGCAGCCAGGATAAGCCTCCTTATAATTGTGTGAAACTGGAGGTCCATATATCAGATGTCTGAATATTTGCACACTGGAAATTAAGATGCTTTCACTGCCAGCCCGTATTCCCAGCTGGTTCCTACTACCCACAGGATCCTACCATTCCACTGGATCACCTCACAACCCAGGGCTGAAGGAGCTAATCTCTCTCTGTGTCTCTGTCTCTCTCTCTCTCTCTCTCTTGCTCTCCCCCCTCTCTCTCCCTCCCTCCTTCCCTCCCTCCCTCACACCCTCCCCTCTCTCCTTTCTCTCCTCTCCCTCCTTAGTCTGGCCACCTGTGCCCTAGGAGTGTTCAGATCTGCTGGGACAAGATGGGGAGGGAAGCTGGATCTAGGCTAGGGCTCCTAGCTGCTGCCCTCTGAAGCCAGGACAGAGATAAAGCTATCAAGCTCTTTATGAAACAAGGCAGGAGGGTATGGGTATGTCAGTTCACCAACTCAAGATCTCCAGGCAGGTCTAGGCACATCAGCCTACAAGAGAGAAGGGGAAAGCAGAGTTATTTTGTAGAAGTGAGATCAGCTAGACACATGGTTCTGGAGACTTTAAAGACACTATAAACAAAGCAGTGTCTGGAAACAAGCCCATTTCCTTCACTCCTGAATTATTAAAAATAAGAAGAGCACATCTACAAAACAGATTGTCACTCATAGAAAAGAACTACCGATGCGTGCTACAACACAGATGCATCTCCAAGCATCATCTGTGTCAAAGAAGCCCACACAAACCACTCTGCCTGGTCCCACTCAGGACATCAGGAGGAGGTGAGCCATGGGAAGGACAGGGGCTCTAGCCCTGGACGGGTGCATCAGGACAGGCTTCAAGCAGAGACACCCAAGACACAGAGGAATTTGACTGGGGATGACGGTGCTCAGTTGTGATTTTGTCGGTGTTTACCCAACTGTATATTTGAAAAAAAATCATACCAAACACTGTAAAAGTGGATTTTATGATGACTGAGGAAGTCTCAGTGAACCTTCCAGAGCAATTAGTTGGAACTCCTCAGTTCCTAGGCAACACCCAGGACTTTCTCCCTGACCCCACCTTCCCACATCCACTTCCTGGCTGTTCCTGCAGGAGCTGCCTGTGTGGGAGAGTGGACTAGCCCACCCTAAATGTTTCTCTGGCTAATCAGAAACTCTGTATATATTTGTAGACCCAATAATGGCTCTGAAAGCTATCTTTTTTAACAAAGAAATGGATACCGTTTTTTTGTATTAATAACTGACCAGCATGTTTCTGATACCCGCCCCCACACACACATTAAGAGAAATTTGGAATAGAAGGTGAGATCGTGGGTTTGACACTCCAGCAGACAGATTACAGAATCCCTGTTGCCTGGGAGACCTCATGTGGCTGAGGCAACACTTCCCAGGCACATCCTCCCTAACTTCTGGACTCTATATCTTTAAGACCCATAAGTCAACTACTTCCCACTTTGAGCCAAGTACCCCTGTGGCTTAGGCATGGTCTGAAGTGTGCATCACTTTCCTATTACCTGTCTCCAGTAAACTTACTTCATAGATGAAAAATTATCAGATCTTCAGAGGGAAAGGGTAAGTTTAAATTATGATAAATCCTCTCTATTCTGCATTCCTCTTCACTGAGTTGAGCACTGGTGGGGCGCACAGGGTGAGAGTGAGGATGCTTTCCTGCCGTGACTCATGATAATACAGGACCCCTTACGAGCAAAGGGCTCTTCTTCCTCGGACCCAAGAACAGTGTGAGAAGGTCACACCGACGATCCGATTTGAGCCCAAGCTCTCATGTGCTGGAACGGTTCTCTCACAGTGACAGCTCCTTGTTTAGGAGAGTTTTAGGAATGTTGACTTCTTGTTCGAATTTTAAGTGTTGCCTTTTAAAGAGCCCCATAGGTAGCCGTTTCAAATCGAGTGTTTTCTCCTACTTTTCTTGTTTTCCAATTCTGAGATTTGTTTGCATAGATTAGATTTTTCTGAGAAGTGGATATACCCCCAAAGGCAGGCCATCAAGCCCCTTCTTTGTTGGGCAGATCTGTTGTGTTTTGTTTTTCATGGTGGAAGAACAGGACTAGAAGCCAGAGGGCAGAGGGCAGGAGGAGATACAACTGACCATGCCTTGGCTTGTCTGTCCAGCCATGCTCACTCTCACACTTCCCTCTAAGACCAGCATGCTAATTCCCACTTACATTCACTTACGTCTTAAGGGTCGTCGACACTGAACCCGTAATTATGATTATAAGAAACATGAGGATAACAGTCTCCTTGAAGTTTTCATACACAGGGAAACAGTTGGCACAGACACTGGTCACATCAAAGGGTTCTTGCTGATTCTGGGGCCCAGGAAGTCTGAAGTCACCTTAATGGACATATAGTGTTTCCGTGACTCAGTCTATCCGCGTGTCAAGTGGGAAGCATAGCTGTGTCCTGTTCTCACGTGATCATGGAGAGAGCCAAAGTCCTTCATGTCAAGAGCATCAACGAGACAGTGTAAATGTGACTGTTGCCAAGGACCCCTGGGACACTGAGTAGGTGGGAACATGTGACCCTCACAACTGCAGGGGTGCCTGGCGTTAGATGAGTCTTGGGTGACACTGATTCATAGGCATCGCAGGCATCACCACTCTGGCTTCTTTTTGCCCCACCCCTGCTCATGGGAACATAGTATGAAGATCTACCTTTCTGTACTTAGCACTGGGCCCTGTAGTGCCAGCCTGACCAGGGCCACCAGGCATACTGTGAGCTTGGACAAACTAGCTAACGTGTATTAGGAAACCATCCTGGTCAGCATTGCCACCGGGACCCACCATTGTTCTGGCCCCATGGTTCAGTGTGCAGGCTGAGGTGGCTGTTCGATGAACAATGGGGACAAATCCCTGCTGATGTGTGCTATGCTCCCAAGAGGCAAATGCTGGCAGGATTCCCCCAGAAAGTTAATCATTACACAGTCACCCAACTGCATTATGGCTGCTGGCCCAAAAGGGGGTCACGGGTACTGGGAAGATGGGAGTAAAGCAGAAAGAACTGAGATGAGGTTAAGGGGTTTCTTTAGAGCCTGTCAGAAAAAAATGAGGGAGATTAACTTCCCCTTTCTGAGCAGCCAACCCCATCATGTGCCCGGAGCACTCCAAACTGCCCTCTACTCCCCTGACTCCTCCTCCTCTCCAGGCTCCTCCCTTTCCCCTTCTGGTCTCTTCCCCTTCACCTACACTCCACAAGGATCTCATAAAATCATTGGTAACCCTCTGAGCCGGCTTCACTGAAGTCCAAGGGTTCTGAATCACTTCACTGCTGAAGGACTCCTCCTGTGACTGCCCTTCAGGGACCTCATGTTTGGACGTTTGGGTTGAGGGCGGATGCCTTTATTCAGTATATGCCCCTTTGAGTTACAGACAGAGCCAGGCTCTTCTCCTTAGTGTCTCATCTGACATCAACACAACTGTTTGTGTGGCATTGGATACGAGGGGAAAGCACAGGTTTGAAAACCTCTAACCCGTGTGAACTCTAGAGACAACCTTGCTGGCTCTGCTAGCTTCGGGGAGCTAGAACCAGGGAAGAGACAATGGGACCACCAAGAGAAGGCCAGACTCCTGTGACAGTGGGGTGTGGCTTTTTCAAGGTTAGGGAGTGGGTTAGATGATTCTGTCATATTTCCCCCCAACTGAGGCATCTGCTGAAATCACAGACATTGACTGCGGAGCTGGCTGGGTGGGTAAAGTGATGTTGTGCTGGCGTGGAGACCAGAGTTTGGATTCCCAGAACCCTTGCAGAGCCAGGTGGTTTGGGTACTGTAGAGTACAGCCTTCCTACCAGCCTGGTTCCAGAGTCGCATCAGTCCCAAATGAACACACAGGAGGCTATGTTAATTATGAAGCTGTTGGCCGTTTGCTTGTTTCTTACTGGCTAGTTCTGACTTAAGTATTTAACCCATCTAAGTATTTCTCTTACCGGAGAAAGGGTCCAGACCTTTTACTCCTCTGGAGGCTACATTGTGACTCCCTGTGTTTCTCCTTCCCAGAGTCCTCCTCGACTCCTAGTCCCACCTATCTTGCTTCCCTATTGGCCAACAGTGCTTTATTCAACAACCAATAAGAGACAGATTTCAGAATGACATCTCCCATCAGGGTACCCTACCTATGATCTCAGCACTCAAGGGGCAGAGCCGACTAGCTAGACGAGTGGTGAGCAAAAGACCCTGTTTCAATACATATTAGGTAGAGAGGGAATCGAGAAGAATACCTGACATCAACCTAGAGCCTCCGTAAGCATGCACATACATGTGTACATGCACCCATATATATGAACACATCTGTACATGCATCCACACCCCATACATGCCATTTGCACATGGCATGCAAATGCCATGAAAAAAAATATGGGACAAAGTAAAAAGGTAGAAAGCTGGCTAACCATGTAGAAGACTATGAAAGAAATCCAGACTCCCTGGCAATACATAGTATATGTAGTCTAGAAAACAGGGGGAACACAGTATTCACTGCAGTCCAGTGGTGCCTCTGTACGTCAGAGTACTGGCAAATGCTAACCCCCAGTGGCTTTGTAATCATTGGCCGCTAGTCACTGTGGTCTGGAGGTTACTCATGGACGTGAGCAAAGAGGAGCTCACTTGGGGACCCTATCTATGCATGTGGTCCCAGCTGGAGTGGAGCAGACTCTATGCCTTTTTGTCTCAGTTCTCACACGGTGTTCCGGCCTACTTAATGTCATGTTCTTGGTATTCTTGCTTTTTGTTGATAATTTCACTGTCCCCAATGATAGTACCAACATGTCATCTAGTGCCTAAAGCGCGAGGAGTTTTCAAACGACAGACCTTCACAGAGCAAGTATGTGCTAGGTAACCATCCATCTGGCATAGTTCCGGCGCCACTGGCTGTGAGTTCCATTGCTGAATCAACAATATGCTTAACCTGTCTGGAGGCAGAAGCACCCAAGAAAAGAGGTTTCCTGCTGCTCAGTGACAAAGATACTTCTGCCAGAGGCTCACAGGAACCTGATCTTACATCTTCTCTCAGAGCAACAATTCAGCTCTTGCTGTTCAGTGTTTGTGGTACCTCTATAACTACAGAAGACGATGATAACAAAGTGTGCATGCTTTTATATATATTGCTTTATATATTGTTGTCCTGTGGGTGAGTGTTGAAGATATCCATGTCAGATTTTGTGACTCAGAACTGATGGGTGTCAGTTGTCGGGATTTGAGTCCCCTCCCAGAGAGGGACAGGACTTTGTAGCTTTTGTACCAGAAAATGTCGATGACCTCATAGCAGAACTGGCAGACCATTAAGAGGCATCAAATGGTGTGGATGGAGACCGAGGTGGCTTAGAGCTAACACAGCGGACTGGAAGCTAGAGGGGCAGATGAAGACTTTGTGTGAGGGAGAGACTGTGGTACTCAGACCTCTCTGACAGGAGAGGCAGGCTTAGTGGAGTCGTTGGAATGATAACACCCCGTCATAGTCTCAGGTGCTTGAATTGGTGACACTCTTTGGGTAGGATTGGGAGGTGTGGGAGGTGTGTCACTGGCAGCAGCCTTCAAGAGTTTAAAGACTCTGACGCGTCTGGTGTTCTCTCTCTGCTTTGTGAGTATGGTTCAAGGGCTGAGTTTTCAGCTTCTCCTTCCTTCCACCATGCTTTCACCATCATGGACTCTAACCCTCTGGAACCAGAAGCCCAAATATAAACCCTTCCTTTTACAAACTGTCTTGATCATGGTGTTTTATCACAGCAACAGAAAAATAACGAAGACACCTAATCAAAAGAAAACATATACAACCCTTCCCACTACACACACCAAACTCAAACTCAAAGTCAAACAAAGCAAACAAAATCAAAACGGTCAGGCCACAGGGAAGACACAGGGAAGAGACAAATTGCATTTGTCACACACCAAGAGAATAACAGGAGAGAGGGGGCTGCAGAGCATGGAAACGATAGTGTGAATGGAAACGGGCATCTGTAAGTCTTGTGCATGGAGTCTTGTGCATCCCAGATGGATCAGAGCTCAGAGTGCAGACTGGAAGCTAGAGAGGCGCATGCTGGGTTTGTGTAAAGGGAGACTTTGTGGTGTTCAGAGCTCTCTGACAGCCAAGGTTGGAAGTTAGTGATCCACAGGTCTGTCCATTGGAGGCACAAGTTTACTATTGCTTTCTGAAAACAATGCATCTAAATGTCCTTTGTGGGACCTGCACCTTTCTGAAGCCTGCAGCATCCCATGTGCTTTAAGCCCCACATAATATATTATGACTTGCATTACTCCTGTAATAGGGTATAGCAATATATCCTATTAATGTTAATATACCCTATTAATATACCTTATTACTCTAGTGATGAGATATAGCAAATGCAGATAAGGATGAAGTCACAATTTCAGACAAATGATAATTTCTAGCATGTACCATACAGAACTTAGGTCACATTTATATTTGTATCCCAATGTTTACCAATCCTGTTCTGCATTTCATCTGGCAACTTCACCCTGGAGGCTTGACGTGGAGCCTTCGACATTGCATGTGAATGAAGTGGGTGCCATATCTGGGAAGTCCTCAGTCTTGTCTCAGAGAAATGCTTGTGATAGAAAAAGGACTGACATGGTTTTAGTATACCTTGGCCTTTGCTTTCCTGAGATGCCGTTGCAGAGAAAGCAATGAAGAGTACAGGTAGTAATAACTTTGCTGCTTGGCTAATAGACTGGATACCAGCCATTGGCTCTAACGGCAGAGCAAACAATCTTTTCATTCCCACAGGTCTGGGGTTTATGAATAGAGGACAGGAAAGTTTCTGACCTTCAGTACCCGATGCTTCTGGAACTCCTTCTAAGCCGTTACGAGGTGCACCCGTGGCTTGGAGAGTGACGATGGCCTTGCTGAACCAGGCAGGCCTGTTGTTTTATGGACACTGTCTAATGTTGCAGCAGCCAGTGTTTGCTTCTCTCAGACAATGCATAGCCATCCTGACACTGCTTGCCTGTGTTGCTGTCAGAGTTGCCTTTCTGGTGACTTTAAACACACTGTAATGAATGTCTAAGGAACAAAGCAGTAGTTACTTTGAGAGGAGAGACTCACTGTAAACACAGCCTCAGTGTCCCCAGGAGAACATGACTGGTAAGATATGAGGTCTTGTCAAGAAATCGCACTTTTAAAAGCCATGCCAGTGATCTTGGGTACTGGCCACTTTTTCGGTGCCTTTCTGGTCCCTGGAGAATTCTAATGTGATAGATGGGGCTCTTGTGTTGGAGATGAGGCAGGGTTAGCTTCTGGGTAGAGTAGCAAGGCCCAGAACTGGCGGTGAAGTCAACTCATAGGCCAGGGCCTTCTGCTGGTCAGTGTGAAGCAGCCCATCCTTTGTCCTCAGTGGAGACTCCCTTCCTCTCTCCCACTTTTCTCAAAGTCCTCACTGACAAAATGGGGCAAAAGGGAAGATAACAAAATGAGCTACAGGTGTGTAGTGTGCGTTGGATTAGTGTTCTCATGTGTCATCTGGGGAAAGGCCCTGGAAGACATGAACCTTGACATTGAAGGGATTGCTTACTGTTTATTAATTACAAAACTGGAGTGCAAATAAAGGATAAGAACCTGAGACAGTTACCAGGGCAGTGATGCACCCACCACATCACCTTCTGGTTCCCAAGAAGGACCGGATAACCTCCCAGCCCTACCTACTCAACTTAGGGCCACTCTTTCCCTCATCCTGGGTCCTCCAAGGACTTGTTGATCCACTCTGACCAGCTGAATGTGAAATCTGCCCCTCAAACCAAATGCCTGATTCAATTGGATAATGGACCAAGACAATCACAGAATTCCTGTAACATGCCATCTCTTTTAAAGACAGGTGTTTTCAGCATTTCCCCAAAGTCTCAATGATGCTGTGTCTTCAACAGGATGACCTAAGTGAAGCACTAGGGGCTACTCAGAGCATCAGACCCTTCAACTCCCTTTCAAATGCCATCATAGAGTAGGAACAAACTGCAACATGCCATTTTCATTGCAAAACTGGACATCTTGATCTTAAGTGAGGGACATTAGGCCATGGGTAGCTTGACTACTTGCAAGTAATAGCCCTGGTTTCATTCTTGTTCTCAATAGGTATCCTGTCTCCTGAGAGAACTTGCAGTGGAATGCTACTTTTCCCACTTTTTACATCCTTCGGGGTCCTGTATTCACACTACACACAGATCTCTGACCATTATGAGTTGAGTGGATGAGCTGGAACTTAAACAATGGCTTTCAGAAGCATAAATATCCTTGAAAGTTTCTACTTCTATTTACCATGTGGTGAACTGATGAGGGAAGTCCTTCTGTGTATATCAGCCTTATCGGTTGATAAATAAAGCACTGTTGGCCAATAGGGAAGCAAGATAGGTGGGACTAGGAGTCGAGGAGGATTCTGGGAAATGTAGTCAAGAGTAGAGAGTCACCATGTTGATGCGAGAGGAGTAAGAGGTCTGGACACTTTCTCCGGTAAGAGAAGACCACACATGGAAATACTCAGATTACCTGTTATGGGCTAATAGTTAAGTCAGAACTACCCAATAAGAAACCATAGCAAACAGCCAACAGCATCATAATTAATATAGCATCCTGCGTGTTCGTTTGGAATTGATGTGGCTCTGGGACCAGGCTGGCAGGAAGAATGCTCGTAACAGTGAACGTGGTCCATTTAAAATTTTTTCTTATATGTAAGTTTTCTTACTTGTAAATGTAGACAGATCATTACTCTTACAGAGTAGGTTGGGAAGAAACAGATTATTAGTATAGGCACTCTGTAAATGGCAGTTCTAATTATTGTTTTTGCTGAATTAATGCAAAACACAAGCAGAAAGAGCCATTCTGTGAAAGTGTGATTCCCCAAACTTCAATGCACTCTTTTTGGTTTTGGTTTTTTTGTTTTGTTTTGTTTTTTAGCACAGGGTTTCTCTGTATTGTTTTGGAGGCTGTCCTGGAACTTGCTCTGTAGATCAGGCTGGCCTCGAACTCACAGAGATCTGCCTGCCTCTGCCTCTGCCTCCCAAGTGCTGGGATTAAAGGTGTGCGCCACCAACGCCCAGCATTTCAATGCACTCTTACCTAGTTTTACACAAAGGTCTAGATTAGATACCCTATAGATGAAATGCTCTGTGTAACTGCCCACTATGGCACGTTCTAGATTGTTGGTTCCTAAAAGCAATGAAGAGGCACTACAGTCAGTAGTGGGATGCATTCCAATTCTTTTATTTATGATGCCTATTTGGACCACAAGCCAGCCAGAATTCAGCCCCCTGGGGAGAACTCTATGGCCCATTCATGTCATCACTCTACAATGCGGCGGAGTGACTGGACAGCAGGGGATGTTGCACCCCAGTCGATGGGCTTCCGGTACTCCTTCTTGTCCAGAAGATACTGTCTACCATGGTAGTTGGGTAGCTCATGGAAAATCCAGGCGCCTTCTAGTACCTTACAGGAGTGGATCTCTCGCATGTGAAATTGCTCCATGGTGGAAGGGCAGTCTTCTGTGGTTTCATACATCTGGCCACTAAAATCACCCTTTTCAAAGATCTGAATCTTATACTGGCCTCCGCTGGACTGAAAACAAAGCAACAAGAGGGAATGGGCAGCCATCGTTACAGAAATCATTCTCAGTTCAGGAACTCAGAGAGCAGCATGGCTCGCAGCCTATCATCCTGAAAGGGGTCATCAGAACTGTCTCTACGTGAAAGGCTGACTTTCATTGAGAAAAGGGTGACTTCTATAAGTATCTATGAGGTAGAAAGAGTCCTAGGACAATTAGTATGCAGTCTGCACTTGATCTTAGGCTGAGAAGTAATGTCAGTTAGTCTAGTGAGAAGAAACTAAGATTTTATTTCAGTCAACAAATCCTAGCTACCCGTGAAGAGGTAGAAAGACTTAGGAAACGGTGTGTGGGGAGAGGGCTGGAGAGATGGTTCAGCTTGCTGCTCTAGCAAAGGACCCGAACTCAGTTCTCCAAATCCACATCAGCTCTATGGACCCCAACACCCCCTTCTGGCCTCTGAAGACACCTGCATGCAAATGCACACACACACACACACACACACACACACACACACACACACACACACACGCATACAATCTTAAAAAAGAAAGAAAAGCTGTGGGGTTGTGGTCACACAGCAAGCTCCCAGACTCACCAGATGAATAGCTCTGCAAGAGCCCAGGCGGTCGTTGAGGCCCATCCAACGTTGGTACTCAGGATACTCGCCCTGAGGTAGGATGTACATGTGCCCAGCGAAGTTGGGCCTCTCATACACGGCCCAGGTGCCTCCTTCTACTCGAATGGAGTTGCAGCGACTTAGGTAAGAGTAGAAGTCGGCACAGTCACAGTCGCAATCATAGCGGCGGCCTTGGAAGTTTTTGTCTTCAAAGAAACTAATCTGAAGCACAGAGAATTAGAGACCCGAGGAACTGGGCAACCTTGCACACAGATGAAAGCGAAAAGCTCGCTGTCACATTAAGATGGCACACCTCTACTTTCCCTCACATTTGACTTCTGGCAATTTTGTCAACAGATGGCATCGGGGCTTTCTCAAAATGGAACACAATAAAAGGATGTTCTGATGGAAGCCGGTAATCTCCGACCAAACTGCATACTTAAGTTCCTACAGCCCTCTACTCAGACCGGAAGTGCGGAGGCAAAGCAGATCTGGTTTCTCTGGTTGAAATAGGGGACACCTGATGGGAACTCTGGGGGTTTATCAATATCACCGTGGAACCCCAAAATAGCGCGCGTGCGTACACACACACACACACACACACACACACACACACACACACACACACACACACACACACACACACACACACACACACACACACACACACCGTTACACAGTAATTCCACAATCAGGAAACGGAGAGTCATGGTTGGAGTGGTTAATTCCTTGGCATTGTGCCGCCACCTTGTGGCTGATTCGCTTTATTGATTTAACAGAAAAGCACTGCATAAAGGAGCAGAGGCGGGAGTCTTTGGTCTTTGAGTGATGGTAGCAGGGTGAGTAGTTTTCTAGAAGTAAAGGAAAAGGGACAAGGCTGTCCAAACGAATAAACTCCGTGGAGAACACAGCCCGTCATAGGAACTGTTGTATTGTGAGCGTGGTAAACCGAGTTGGAGTTCGTTCCCCCGGAGACAACGCGGGGAGCTGCGACAGGAACACACTCTGAAGTCGGGTCTTGTTGACTCATTACATGGACAGAATGGACGAGCACAAAAGATCCTTTCCCTTCCATCCTGTGTGATTCGTCCCCCGGTGGCACATCCTGTTACACCCCAGGTGACACATTCCGCTTTCATCTTTCCTTTCCCCCTCCTGTCTCAACTCTCCCTTTCCTGCTCCCTAACTTTTATCCTTTGCCATTTAAAAAAAATCGTGTATTTCATTTCCTCCTCTTCAAAATCGTTTTTCTGCTCCCTCTCTCGTTTTAGCATAGCAGACTTAGAGGTATATGGTCCCTGTTTACTACTTATGCGACTTTGAGCTTCCATCAGAGGTCAAGGTAAAAGTGTGTCAGAGGGGTGGTCTGAGGGTAAAATGGAAGTAATGGCAATCAAGTTTATAAAGTTTAATACTTGACTCAAAATTGCCAATGAAGGGGAAGGGGCTCACGGGGCCCACCCCTGCCTGAGAAGCTACAGGCAATTAAGATTGCTGAGAAAGCAAGAGTCACATTCCTAGGTGGTGTAGACACTCAGAGCCAGTCACTCTAACCTTCCTAATGCTGCGACTCTTTAATTACAGTTCATGCTGTGGTGACCTCCAACCATAAAATTATTTTGCTGCTACTTCCTAACTGTAATTTTGTTACTTTTACAAATTGTATGATATGCAACCCACGACGGAGTTACAGATCTACAGGTTGAGAATCACGACTCTAAGCTGTCCTGCTCAAATAGCCCATACCCATGCTCAAGCAAGCAACCCTAATTAAATGCAACGAGGGAGGCAGACAGACAGACAGACAGACAGACAGACAGACACACACACACACACACACACACACACACACCACCTCACAGGGAACAGGCAAAGGAAGGGGTCTGGTGGGAGGGGAGTGGAAGGGAAACGTGAGAATGGGGGATGAATATGATCAAAATATGTTACACATATGTGCAAAACTGTAAAGCACATTTTAAAAACTGTTTAAGATAAAAACTGGCTCAGTCTGTATGTTACTCGTGTGTGTGTTCAGGGCTGACCATTTGATACTGAGTAGCCGATCAATCGGTGTGCTCGCCCCTGGGGAAGACTACTCTCCCGCTGTTCAGCATTCCTTAGTTGTCTGTGGTTCTTTGTAAGGCTTGAAGTCCCATCATCTTTCACCTTTGCATGTCCCATTATTGTCATCCTTGTGCAGGTTAAGCGGCCAAAGATAAATGTTTAAAAAGATAGTAAGCGGTTTTTGTTGTTACGGACACATGACCTCCAAAGATGACCAGCTATTCAACGATAGCTGGAAACCCATGGGCTGCAGTGTATCCCGTCTTCCTACCCCACATGACTTAATGGGGCAGCATTTATACTCTAAACACTCAGCAGGACTGACACTGAGGCCTTTTTTTTTTAATTGTGACCTGTAACAAGATCGTCAGGAAAATCGAGTAACTTCTCTAAGAATGGACTTTCTTTCATTCATATGCTGAATTTACTTACCAAACATTGCTTGTGGGAGCTATGCTATGGGAAATATGTGCATTTTATTCATGAGTTCTCACATTTACTGTCCTCTGCACACTTGTCTTATGTATGTATGTATGTACTTCTCAGATACTGCTATAAGACAAGTGTGCATCAGGCACTAACCAATCACAGAACAAGTTAACAGCTACCTCCAGATAACATGCACCAGTAAGCATATATATCTACCTAACTTGTTGCTAGTCTCAGTCTAAAGATGAGGAAACTGTGGTATGGATCTAGATGGAGTTTCTCTTAATATACCTGGCCTGAGCTTTGAAAACTCTCAATAACAAACAAACAAAAACCAAAAGAAACTGAAGGGGCTGCTCTATAGGCACAGAGAGAGACAGACAGACACACAGAATATCAAGTAACTAATGTATCACATGACATTAACATGCCCTATTGTGTCTGGGGTCAACTGGATAAATTCAGTATGGTCTGACTATTGGGTATTAGATTTAAGATGCATCTTGGGGGTATGTTTATTCAAGGTAAAAAAAAACTTTATTTTTAGGGGCTACATATCTAAACACCCCCAGTCAACAATGCAATGAAGTTAGGTACTCTTCAAATGGCATGACAGAGAGCAAATCTAGCCCAATGTTAACCACTGGAGTACCAGTGAAAGTCAAGCGTTCGCTGCAAGTGTTTCTTATCCTTTCAAGATTAGTAAGTCTGAAAGTTTCAAAGCCAAGAGTTGGAAGGAGGGATCAGGCACCACACACAGACTCTGCCCTTCAGCCCCACTGATTACTACAAATGCTAACCAGAGAATCCCTTCCTTCCCCAAGTCTTGCCTGAGCGTTCACCTCCACACAAGCAGTGGGGTCAACATTGGTAAGACCCCTGCATGGAAACAAGAACTGCTTTAACAAAGAAGTATTGTTAGACTAGCTCACTGGACTGGCCTGTCCACTGACTGGCCTTTTGGAACAGTAATGGCTGAGGCTAAATTATGCATAATAGAGTGTTGAAAGCTTTTCTATGCCTATTAGATTTAAATCATCTGTTGCTGGAAGGCAGCCATCATGGTGGTTTTGGTACTGTCTGCCCACACAGTACTCAGCACAGCACCATCGTAAAAGGGAAATCTTAAATGTTGATAGGTGAATATATTAGACTAGAAAACAAGCCTGTCTCCATCTTCCCTCCTTTCCTTGTCCTTCAAGCACTAGCTTATTCACCTCTAGGCAAAGAAGCAAGAGCTTTCCTGCACTCTGCTTTCAAGAGGTCAGTAGATGAAAAGCGGACGAGCTATGAAGTCTGCATGGCGTTTACTTACCTTGGCTCCAGTTTTAGACATCGTAAGCGCAGAGGTTGAGTCCGCACTACTGAAAGAAATCCAGAGTAGCTCCAAAGCTCCAGGCACAGGGACATTTATACCAGGCTGGTTCCACAACAAACATTTGCTTAGTCATGAGAATTGGATCCAAAATTTGACTCAGTCATTTACAGTCTATTGATGTTTGCTAGAAAAGCAATTGGGATTATAAAATAAAGGAAGGCTTCATTGCCTGTCTAATGCTCACCCACCCAGCTGTATTGTAGACTTTGCTGAATCAAGGCACCAAAACCCAGCCAAAGTTTTAAAAATTCAAAACAAGGTTATCTCTGTGCCATTTTTTTTCAACCAATGACCTGTTAGGCATTCCCAATGTCCATTTATTCTCTAACAGAGAGCATACAGGAGAATCCAAAGACGACCCTCTACTTCAGGGGAAGTGATGTTTGGAGGGCAAACCATTTTGCACCTACAAGTCATGAATGCTCTTGACTTTGGGTGCCTGGGAGTCACTACAAAAAAGCATTGGTAATCTAAACGCTTTTAATATGGAGCATACATTAGATATACCAGTGTTTGGCTCTTGAACTTGATTACTGCCCTATAACTAGGTAGCAGAATGTCTTTAATTTTGGTAAATGTATGCTAATGTGTTTGGGGTAAAATGATGTCTACAATCTACTCACAAGCTTTAAAATTAATGGTAATAGACTAGTCAATTTGGCAAAACGTTAACATTTGGGGACTCCAGTCAGGGAGTACATAGGGGTCCAGTGATCTGTTTTGTTTGGAAGAGTCTTACTAGGTTATGTAACTCTGGCTGGCCTGGAATTCACTGTATAGTGGAGGCTGGCTTCAAGGTCATGGCAATCCTCCTGTTTCCCAAGTTCAGGAATTACAGGTTTGCCACTCCAAGGTCAGATCACCTATTTTTGCAAATGTCACTCAAGTTTGATTTTTTTTTCCAGACACAAATTAGAAAGAGCTGTAACTCACAAAGCAGTACCAAGTACATAGAGACAGAAAGCTGCCTTGAGACTCCAGAACTTTCCAAGCTAGTGCTCTGCCCTTTACACTGGGATCTACCTCTAACTTTAAGAATAGGATTAATACTTTATACAAACTCAGACAAACAATGAGCCAACCCTTCTCCCTTCTTCTGAGCCCAATTTCACATTTCTTCCTTTCTCCTAATAAATGTCCAACAAACACCTCTATAAATCGGATACCCACCAGAGTGTTCTATTTAAAAGGGCAAATGTGGGTGGAGCGGCTCACAACTGCACCCTAGGGACCTGACTCATCTGGCTTCTTCCTTCACTCACACATACATATGCACATTGATAATAGTAACAATCATCTTTAAAAACATGCAAATGTGCCTTGATATGTGGGTTGCCGAGAAACAAATAACAAACCACAGAATATATTTGCTTCCTCAATTTTATGTATTTTAAGGATTGGATTGACTCATGGAATCCAGCAGTGTCACCCCAATGGTCCTTCATTTGGTCATTTTTTGCTTACTTGAATTTCATGTTAAAGTAAAACCTATCAAGTCTTCGAAGACTTAGCGAGCATTAAGAGAGCAAATTTTACTTGAGAACTGTAAGAGTGGCTCTGTGGTGGTAACTATTAATTAAGTAACCCGTTAGTGAACAGAATCACTTCACTCATGTGTCTTAAAGAACAGGGCTTCCCAGTTACATGCAGACTCAACTTTGTAACAGAATAACAACAAAAACCTTTTATTAAAATTAAAGTAAGACGTATTTTTTAACAAAAGGAGAAAATTGCTTTTTAGAGTTTATTGAAATTTGAAGCAGAAAATAAAAAATAAAAAACTTTACACAATTTCATATGTGCTTTATACTTTAAGGCCTAAAATACCATTTTATAAAACTATCTCTGCTATATTTATACACCAACTGACCATACTGTCACTCTTTTTAAAAAAGGAGCAGCAGTTTCCTTTTAAATAGTTGCAAAGAACATACAACTCTTGTTTTGTTTTGTGAGACACAGGGTCCTCACCATGTAGACCAGGCTGGCCTGGAACTCACAGAGATCTGCCTGACTGTGCCTCCTGAATGCTGCGATCAGGCATGTGCCACTACACCTGGCTAACTTTTCTACCTAGGACAAACCCTTTCATCATACAAACTAAAATATGAAGTCAGCTTGTGAGCCTGTACTTGGTCACTTAGACACTAACGCATACAGAAATCTGCCTTGCCTGGGGTTCCCTTTCGGCCCGACACATGTGAGTCTTATAACCTTCTACAGGTTAAGATGTTTCTATGAAAGTCAGAAGCTAAAGTTCGACCTAAGTAAGTGAAGAACAGGAACCAACAAAAGGAGTTAAACAGATGGAAAAATCTTGAGGTCTCGCAGGCAGCAAGGGTGCCTTTCCAATGAAGTCTTCATTGGGCACCATCTTCCACTACTCCTCATGTTTCCAGAGCCCTGCAGATGAGCAAAGAGAAGTTAATGCATATAAATTAATTTTCATGTTCCATGCAAATGTGAAAACCACTTTCATTATAAATTCATATAAATTAGGGAGATCACGACGATTTAGAGTGACACAAGAACCTTTGTATCCCTTTATGGTATTAGTTACTATATAACAGAAAGAAATTATTTTGAACTCAAAATTGGCAGGCTGGAGGTAAACAGAAACTTCAATCCCTATGCCTTACAGTTCTGACTGGAAACTAACAGAAAGTAAATACCTACCCCTTACAGTTCCTTTTCTTTGTACCATCTCCACATTTCCAATCCCAACCCAGCATTTATTAACTACATACTGTGAAATTATGTTTCTTTTTAAAAAGATTTATTTTTTTTAAGCACATGGATATTTTGCCTGAATGTATATGCGTGAACCAACATGCACACTGTGCCTTTGGACGCCAGAAGAGGGCGTCAGGTCCTTTGGAACTGGAGTTACAGACAATTGTGAGCTGCCCTGTAGTTACTGGGAATTGAACCTGGGTCCTCTAAAAGAGCAGCAAGTGCTCTTAATCACTGAGTCATCTCTCCAGCTCCTAAAATCATGTTTCTTAAAAAGAATACAATCACAGAACCTGGGATGCCAAAGCAGGAGAACTGCTATAAGTTCAAAGCCAGCCTAGACTACATAGGAAGACCCTGTGTCATGAACAAAACAAAGTCAAGGAATATACACTTTAGAAAGGCAGTCATTGCTACCACCCTGTGTACCCTAAATAGATAAGCATATGTCTGTGCAGCCACTCCTAGGTACAAATGCATGAGAGAAAGAAAGCACATGCTGTGCAGAACCCTGTTATAAACATGAAACAGTGCAGAGGGGAACGAATCCAAGTCCTCTCAGTGGACTGTTGCTCTACTGTAAGAAGGAACACTCCTGCTACAGCAGAGATGAACCCTGACAAGCTGACTGTTCAAAAAAAAACTTGACTGCTTCATGCATAAGAGTGTCTAGAATAAACTAGGTAAATGATTGTTTGCTGGGGCCTGGAACTAAGAGAAGCTGAGGGGGTTAAAGGCATAGGAAATGACTACTAATAGGAGAAGGCTGTTTTAACTAGGCTCCTGATACCACTGTAGGCCTAGAGGATGGGGCTGTAGAGAGTGGGCCCCACCCCTCTCTGTCCAGGTGAAGCTTGCAGGGGAGAGGGCCCCACATCTCATCTGGGCAGCAAATGGAGTTGATGCCATTCCCAGGGACACGGTTGGGCTGGCCCTGAGCATGTGAGAATGGGAGGGCAAGTTGTGCCCCTCTCATATGCCATGTGGTGGCACGGGTGAGGGAATGAAGTCTTCTTCCCCTCTCCTCAAGCCCCACAGCAGGCGGGGGACCTGATCCAACAGCCCCCCACCCCAGCAGGCCCTGTACTCACTGGGACAGCAGAGTGGAGTTGGCCCTGTAGATGGGCTAGGGTGAGTCAGCTCTGAGGATGTGTGAGAGGCTTAGCTGCTATCGCCTCCCTGAGATATGGTGATGGAAGCAAGAGAAAGATACCTCCTCCACCCCTACTGCCTCCAGAGAGGGAGCTGACCCTTTCCTTTACCAGCTACAACATGGGAAAGGGAGCCTGCACCTCTTCTGGGTAGCACAGCAGAGCTGACCCTGTTTACAGTGTTGTGGGTGAACTAACCCCAAGATGTGAGCATAAGGGATCTGGCTCTGCCCCTCATCTGCCATATGACGGCATGGGTAGGGAAGAGATGTCCCCACACACACACACACCAGCTCTCTATGCCAGAGGCGGGTGGGAGAGCTGTCTCTGCCCCCACCAGCTGCAACACTCAGAAGAGTGGCCCCTGCACCTCACCCGGGTAACAAAGTAGAGCTGGCCCTGATGGTCCAGGTATGGGAGGCAACCCTGGGGTCATGAAAGCAGGAGAATGGCCATGTCCCTTGCTTCAAGGGATGAACTAGCCAGGGCAATGCTGGAGAGCTTGCCCTGGTGGGGAGGATGGGGTGGGTAGAGCTGACTGACCCTGCAACTCCCCAGGTTCAGAACCAGGGCTATGAGTTGGTCCACCCCAACAACCACCCTACCTATGAGGGCTGGAGCACATGAAGAGGCTGGTCCTGCAGACCCAAAGCTGCAGGATTTCCATGCACAAGGCAACAACAGAATGCCCAAGAGGAGTTCCAGGGAGGGCCCAGCATCAATAGTGTGGCAGAAACTGGAGGCTTCAAACCAGACCAATGACTCTGTGCAGTGAACACTTGCAAGTAAAGCTGTATGGACAAAAGGGTTCACTGCGTGACCCACTGTGTCACACTAAAACTTCTATGACAAGAAAATTCCTTCTTTCTTTCTTTTTTTCCTTTTAAATTTAAGGCTGCAAGCAGATGGCAGATACAAAGGGACAGGAAATGGATGTGATCAAGGTGCATGATGTGAGCCACAAAGAATAAATAAAAAAGAAAGTTTAAAGAAATCTTTTAAAATGCTGAAAAAAACAGCATTTGGATTAAGTAATTCTAAATAAATTTATTTCTATTTATATTCTTAACTATTTAATTCATGACTTCTAGTGTTCAGTAATAAAATGTTTATTTGGTTTAATTCTAACTAACATATTAGTAATTAAGAAAAAGGTCTGTTTTATTAAATAGTTTGGGGAGTATATGTTAGAGAGGAGAAATAGAACTTACTGCCTGGGCTGTGAGAGATAGCTCAGCAGTTAAGAGCATACGCTGCTTTCCCAGAGGACCTGAGTTCAACCTGCAAAACCAGCCTCAGTCAGCTCACAACACCTGTCACCGAGGTTCCATGGTACCCGACACCTTTGATCTTCTCTGGGCACCATCACTCACCTACACACTGACATACACACATACTCATACTTAAGAATAAAACAAATACTAAAAAAACAAAAGACGAAACAGAAAAATAATGCTATTAATGGAAAAATAGTATTTAGTACTACAAAAATGCAATACATATATGTGTGTGTGTGTGTAAATAAATAAATAAAACTCGGCCTTTATATTTGCCCAAATTTCTCTATGTACCACTTGAGTATTTTTGTTTTCGCATAAAAAAAATATGTGGGTATGTGTCTACATGCAGCTGGGGTAGAAGAGAACACTAGCAAGGAGAACACAATCGAAAGCCCTTTCTTTTCTGCTTTGCATGGATGGAGGATTTCCCAAGAGTTCCTTAAGCGTTCTGTGTTCTAATTCCCTACCAGTGGTTCTGCATGGGGTCCTATCCAGGCTCTTGTTTGGAGGCTGCTGCGTGTGGAACGAGGCTGTCCAGCTGTTGCCGATGTCCTGTATTAATCAACCATTCATAGAACTTGTTCTCCACGAAGACCTGGAACTGCTTCCTCTGCTCCCTGAAGATGCAATTGAGAGCACAAGCATTTAAGAAGACAAACACAACAGATTCACTCCCATGATTATCTAAGATCTCAACGCTTCTGAATGACTATTTCTCCTTATCCATCAGCTCTCACTGTTCTGAGCACAGTGAGAGATAATGTCTGAAGGTTTGTTGTCACACTCTTGCTGTGAACAAAATGAGTGAGGCAGTGGTTTGACTGATGGAATAAATTCATAAAGAACTTATGTCCAGGTTGGAACACTGTGATCTTGGTGTATGTGCCCTTGTCACCTGTATGCCCTTGTAGGGAATATGGGAGAAAAGCAAGATAAATAGACAGCATGAAATTAGGTACTTAAAAGAAAACTACTTGTTGGAGAACAGGTGACAATGCAGCGTTACGGAGTGCTGTTGTAGAAAGAGGGAGGACAGAAGACATTTCTCTGATATGACACTGGAACAGAAGTCTACATGAAGTGACAGAAGAGGAAAATGACGATGTGGAATGGACTACCAGGCAGAAGAAACAGAAGCAATAAAGGCAATGCCCCTCTGGACTCCATTCCAAAGCCTACACACAGCACATACTGAAAGGCTTCTACTTCTTAATTCTAATGGAGAGTCCATGGCCTGATTGTCAGATGTGACCATATCTGTCTCAGCTCACTTATCAAGTTTAAACACCACCGTATAGAACCCAGAATCCCGCCTTAGCTTCTGCTCCTCAGACATCTGCCCCTCCAGTACTTCAGAGAGTCAGACTAGCATGCAAACTTCTCATTCTTCAGAACCCAATGCAAACTCTATGTCCTTGATGTGCCTCCCTTAACTGGTCACACTGGTACTGTCTGACTCTCTGAAAACTGCATGCCATGGTCCCGGCTTATGGAGTTCAAAGGTTAATATCCCTTAAATAAAATCTGGGCATAACCTAATATCTACAGCTATATCTGTTATTCTATGCATGTAATTAAAAAATAAGCTATTTCAGTGTCCCCTAAGCAGAATGAAACACAGTATTTTATACTGCAAATTCTAGCTTAAAAAAAAAACACTTTAGTTATTTCTCCCATGTTAGTATGGATTAAGGAAAATTAACAAGAACTAGCAATAGTCCAAGGGTCAGCCTTGGAAAAACACTCTTCAAGAATGTGACTTGTTAAGTCTTTGGTGTGGTGGGAACCATGAAATTCTGTATTTTAAATAAGGTTCTTGGAGGACTCTGATGCTAAGTCATTTAAGACTGAATCATTTACCATCTTCTTAACAAGAATGCTTCAATTATGTAAATCTTACCCCTGCCAAATAAATGTAAGCTTATTTTTATTTTGAGGCAGAGTTTTATCAAATAGATCCTACTAACCTTGAATTTGTGATCCTCCTGTCTCAAGCCTTGAGGTTCTGGGATTACAGGCTGGTGCCACAGAGCTATTTTCAAATTCTTCAAGGAAGGGAGCCTAATACCTCCAGTTATACAATGCTTAAAATACTAACCTGCCTGTTCCCACCCTCCAGTAGCATAGCAGCTAGAATACTAAACTGGGATACAAGTCTGAGAAGAGACACATGTCATTTAATTAGTGTGGCTGGATACTATGAAGTATCCAGATTAATCAAGTTTCACATGGCCAGTAAACACTGTCTCTAAACACCACTTACTTAGTCAGCCGAGCCTCCTTCACAGTTTTCTGCCAGATCTGTATCTTCCGCTCTCTCTGAGCCAGCACTTTCTGGTAAGCAGAGGGGAGACCCCCTGGTATCTCTGCCGTGTCCCCTTCCATCTCAAAGGGAATAATAAATATGTAGAATTCACTAGGTGGCAAGAGCCGGAAGACTCTTGTGTCACTGCCTTCTCTGCACACAACCATTGGGTTATCCCAGTAGTTAGGAACTGTAGCAAGGCCAGTCCTGGCCATATGGTCCTCCAGCATTGGGTAATGGGTATGGAATGGGGCAAAAGTCACATTCTGGTTCCCAGAGAGAATAAGTGGACGTGAAGGCGTCATCACGTGAAAAGTGCAAGCTGTTGTAGAAGAGATGGACAGTCGATGGCAAACAGCAATGACTTTCAGATTCTCACAGTCTTGGAGGTGAAGGGCGGTCTCCACAGGACCCAACACAAAGGTGGTATTCCTGCATTTTTCAATTGTCACAGATCTGAAAAATTTTAAATGAGTTAAATTCTTAATGAATTTACCCAGAATAAAATTCTGACTGAAAAAAGTTAATCCTGTCCAAAGAAAGTATCAACATGCTTACCGCAAGGGGGAGAGCAGATATATGAAAGACTCATTGCAGCAATGAGCCCTGATATGTGCTCCCACTAGAGTGTCTGAGCTCTTGGCCAGCGTCTGCTTGTAAACCTGGCTCATCACCACCATGCGGTGCAGCCGAGGGGCCACGTGAGTATTGCAAGCAATCTTAGCTCTTTTGGTTGCACCTTCAACTATTTAAGGAAACAAATGAATAATAAGACAGTTGTAAACCAAAGAAAACACGTCACCATGAGACTATACATGTCTACAGGTACCCATGCCTAAACTCGAATACATGTAAAGAAAATATATTAGATTCAAGTGTTAATGACATTTTCCTCTCTTCGCTCTTTTCTCTTGCTCTTCTCATACCCCTCCCAGCTCTCCTGCTCTACTCTCATCTCTCTCTCTCTCGCTCTCCTCCCTCCCTCCTCACCCTCCTCCCCTTTAATAAACTCCACATGGTTAATGTTAAAAAAAAGAGTTAATGACAAAGTAGTGTTTACTGTTCTTTTCTACATATCTGTAATCTTTCATAATAATTATTTAAAATGTAAACCTATAATACATTTAGGATTTCTGATAGAGCTAAGATGTGTTTTCTTGTTTACCTTTTAAATTATGTGCCTAAGGTCCTAAACTAGTGACAGATCCAAACAGCTTTCCCTCCAAGATGCCTCACTGTGTCCTCCCAATAGCAATGGAATAATCATTATCATAATCAAACTTCCACAATACCAATTCTGCAGCCCTCTCAATGTACTAACAGCATCAGTCCACAGATTCTTCTTGAGTTCATGTCTTCACTCCAAGATCATCACTACTTGGGAGCACAGCTCCCGTCACAGGGTCCCTTCCCACACCTCAGTACGAGACTTGCTTTTCTGCCTACACTCCCCACAAGCTATGAAGTCAACCTATACTGGGCCAACGTGGAAAGGATACACAAATATTATAAAATTCTTTTAAAAGGCTTACTTTTTAATTTCACATATACCATATACATGATTCATGGTTATGTAGAAAAATAGCAGTAAAAAAGTCTTTAAAACGGTTTATTATCCTACTATCATTTTAATATATTTTTTTTGTTGTTGTTGTGTTTTGTGTTTGTTTTTTTTTTGTTGTTGTTTGTTTTTTTCGAGACAGGGTTTCTCTGTATTGTTTTGGAAGCTGTCCTGGAACTTGCTCTGTAGACCAGGCTGGCCTTGAACTCACAGAAATCTACCTATCTCTGCCTCCTGAGTGCTGGGATTAAAGGCATGTACCATCAGGCCTAGTTAATATATTTTTAAACATACATGGAAGCTTTTTGTGTGCCTATCTTTAAAATTATGAAACTGGAAATATAGCTTACTATATATTTTTTTCTCAACAACTTTGCCTGGCACCTAATTTCATAGTATGGATATCTGCAGACTTGTTTTCCTGATTCTTCTCAAGAATCCAACACTAGTACCTATCTGTTAGCCAGAGATAGACACTGACACAGCAAATGGTGAACTCTTGCTATTGTTCATATGATTTCTATTTTAGAAATATATTCCTAGCCTATGTCTATGCAACTAAAAGCCCCCACCCACTCCGTCTATTAACTCTGAGGTGGTATCTATTGGTTGGCCAAATTCTGCTGCTAAGTAGAAAATAAAAAAGTGTCAAGCAAATAAACACCTGGCAGCAAGGAAAAGAAAATCAAGGGAGGACGAATTACAGTCCTGTGAACTGTAACGAAAAACCCGTGTTAACTCTGAGAGTCCTGCTCCACTGTGCAGGTCATATACAAAGGGTGGGTCTGCTTACACACTGCGGTATTTTTTATTTACTCACTTGGTAGGGTATTGCCCTTTAGTTTTATGGTATGTGTATGGGTGTCTGGCCTGCATGTATGTGGTGCGCCACATGCACACAGTGCAGACACGTCTCACCATGCAGCCCAATTTAGCCTTGTGCCTGTGACTCTTCTGCCCTGTTTTTCAAATGCTACTAGATTACAGGTATGTGTCACTGCACCAGGCTAGCAGACATCTGGCCATTAATATACCAGAAAACACTAGGTTTCCTTGTTGGTAAAGTTAATATTAGGTAAAATATATTAAAAAAAAATAATACCTTGGTGAGCCCAAGCCAATTTCTTTCCAGACTTGAGGCAAGCAGATGGGCCAAATGGATTTGCAGTCAAACAGGCTCGCAACCAGGCTTCCAGCTTGTAGAAAGAGAATGTCTTGGAGATCTTCGAGAAGCCACTGTCTGCATGCAGCGGTTGCCACAGTGCAAGTTCATGAAGAGGATAGACCTTCCTGGTTCTGCTTACAGTGCCTTCGATGAGGAAGCTGAGGGCCAGGACGGCTTCTCGAGAGACTACACTACTGTGGGTTGAGTGGAAGGACGCAGTAAGTTGTTCTGGCTCTAGAAGCAGCTCGAGGAGATCCAGCAGATGGTCACAGACGAAAGCCTGGTGACTGTAGTCATTCCAATTCTAAAATAAACAAAGAAAAACCGCTCAACAGAACACAGATATTCTGTAAGATAAAAAATTTGTATTTTAATTATATTGTGCTTATATGCCATCTCACCTCTCAAAAGAATGTGGGTAACTATGTAAAAGTGACCTTTGTGTATGTAGTATTTGTAAACTACCTCAAAAACACTACAGATTCAACGCTCCTTACCAAATATGTTGAGACCAGAACTGTTTTAGACTTTTTCAGACATTTTTACCTTAGGAGCTATCGTGAGGCTGAGACCAAATCATCACACCTTACACACACAGCCCAAAGGTAGTTTTAAACATGAAAGTAAGTATGGCAGGCACCCCCCCCCCAAACAAAGCACTGAGTTTCTCGATTTACAGTTAGAGTTTTCAGGTCCCTAGATTTATGAGAAACTACCACCTTGGGAGTAAGGTTTGAGTTGGCGAGTATCCCTGTTACTCGCCTCATCTATGTTAGTTGTATTTGTTTGGCCTGAATTGTGCTAGATGATGAATATGCAAAATGAGTAAGACAGTTCTGTCCTCATGGAACTCAGGAGTCCATGGTGAGAAGACAACAGAGACACAGGAAACATCCACATGAAAGCTGGTACAGACATCTATCTGTAAGGGCATTCCACAAGCATGAGAGAATCCCCCTCATCTGAGGAAAAAAATCATGATGGAGTGTTATTTGATTAAATTCTTGGCTGACGCTGGTAAAGAAATGAACAACTATGAAAAAAGACATTCAAGTTACAGAAAACAGCAAAGACTATACAGCTCTGTCAAGAAAACTAAGTTCTGAATGGGGTATAAGAAGTATACTGGGAATAGGAACTAAAACGGCAGGCAGGGCCAGTCACAGCAGGTCTTGGTCAGCTAGGAAGCTCTTCAGTCTAAAGGACTGACAGCTATAGGTCTTCATTTCAAACCAGACCAATGAGAGCCAGGCGTGGAAGTCCATGCTATCATTTCAATTTCTTGGGACACTCAAGCTGGAGGATCATATACCCAGGAGTTCGGGACCAGCTTTCTTAATATAATGAGATTCTGTTTCAACAAAGTCAAAGGTAAAACAGTGAATAAGGTACTCTACTCAAGAGTCCATTTCTTGATGCTCTTTGAGCCTTTGATGTAGGACTATGTTATAGATGTACCAATTGGGACTGGGTACTCCACAATCACTTATGAATCTCTGCAATAGCCTACATTTGCTGCACAAAGAAGCTACCTTGATGTGGGGTGAGAGATCTTATCTGTGACTATAAAGACTGGTATTTGGAACACAGTAAACTATACTGATTTAGGATAATGGCAGTAGTAGATTCTCCCCTAAGATCTATGGCTTCTCCAGCCATATGAATTAGTTGCTAGGTTTACAGTACCAAGCATGAATTATTTCCCTTAAATCAATTGGACAGTTGTTGGTTACCTCCAAGATTTAAATGCCACTATTACATCACAGGAGATAGGCTGCCAAGCCAGGCACTGTTGTGGTTTGTAGGCAAAATGGGCAGAATGCTTATAATTGAGAGACCAGGATACCTGCTGCAAGATATTACCTTCTAGACATGACAGAGAAGTTGAATCTATGAAATCTTGACAACTTTGTTGCATTAAAATAGACCTGCAGCCACACAGTGGTGGTGCAAGCCTTAAATTCATCACTCAGAAGGCAGAGGCATAAGGGTCTCTGTGAGTTGAATAGAAATTCTATCAAATCACAAGGCAATGACATAGTGTCATAGCTACTTGACAACATCTGGAATCAACTAAAACCCAAGCTGTTGGGCACATCTCTAAGGGATTTTCTTAATCTGATTATTTGTGGCAGGAAGACCCACCTAAATCTGGGCCACTCCTCCTGATTGGCAGTCCAAATAGAGGGCCTGGAGGAAGGAAGCTTTGCTCTGTGCCTGCTTGCCCTCACTCCTGCTGGCAAGTGCATTTACCCTGGCTGAAGCTGGCATTAAGTACAACTTCTTCAGCATTCCAGCACAGACTGAAGACTAGCAGCTCCAGGATACAGCACCAGATTGGGACCGCAGAGACATGCAGCCTCATGGACTCCACAACTACCAGATCCTTGGTCTTTCCACCATGAGACAGCCATTGCTGGCTATTTGAACCACATCCAGTAAGCGGCCTAATACATCCCTTTAATATAGATACTGTTCCTTGAGAACCCTGACTAATATACCACCTTGTTTTATAAAGTGGAACCCAGTAACCACAGACTTCCTTCTATTGAATGGTTCTACCAGTGAGCTGCTCAGCCTGGTACAAAATCAGAAATGGGTTTGTTCCCATGAAGAACTTTGACCTTAAGTACTGGAAGATGTAATCTACACTAAAAATGGGGAAAGTGACAGGTTTAAAATAAAGAATGATCTTTAGAGCTAGGCAATGGTGGTACACGCCTTTAATCCCAGCACTCGGGAGGCAGAGGCAGGAAAATCTCTGTGAGTTCGAGGCAAGGCTAGTCTACAGAGTGAGTTTCACAACAGCCAGAGCTGTTACACAGAGAAAACCTGTCTCGGGAGAAAAAAAAAAAAAAAGAATGATCTTCAGAAAATATATGAAGCAAAATCACCCTTCAATTAAGCCTAAGAATTCTGGGTATCCTGGGTTGAATATGTGCCATGGGCTAACAGGGCCTCAAAAGTTCTGAGTGCCCAGAACCTTGGCAGGTCTATTTGGTTCAGTATGGCCTTGACAACTGGTAGTGTCCAGATGGACTTCACAGAGGATACAAAGATGCTGTGATGCACTATTGCATTCACAAGTGTTGATGATGCACACAATGGTGTGTCCTGTTGAGATGGGTATCATGCGCTCGAGTGGCTGCTACATCTTTGAAGAATAGCTTGAAAATTCCTGGTTGCTACATCTTCCTTTGAAGGATAACTTGAAAAATCCTAACTACATTGAGAAATCCCAAACTTTGATACAAAGAACATTACAGGTTCTATGCAGAAATGTTTTCGGGGAGAGGGCTAGGGTTAAGCAAGATGGAATTGCTGAGTAAATAGAAATGGTGAAATTAGTACTGAAAGATATCTTCATCAAAATTCATGTAAGACTAAAAGTCATAGGAAGCAAGGATGATAGCACTGGACTTTGTGATGTAGGAATGAAGGGCTGAAGCACAGTCAGTACCAAGCAAGCAAAAGCAAGCAGTGCCTAGTGCTGGAGACACAGCCTGTTCCGACCCTGAGTAAGCCACGCAGACACACGACAAGAGGGCTGTGGAGATGGCCCCGTATGGGAGAAGGCTTTCTTTACAATCAGGACCTGAATTTGGTCCTCTGCACTCACACTGTGTGACTGTGACATGTAGAGCCTCTGGGAGGGGTGAGCAGGGCACACAGGAGGGCACTGTGGCTTTCTGACTGTCAGTCTAGTCCCCAAACAGTGAACTCCAGGCTCAATGAGAAACCCTGTGTAGAGGGTGCACCACACAGACACACAGACAGACAATTGAATTGTTACTACGGTATTAAGAAAAAAATGCAAAAATTCAGAAGGCAAATGCTGGGAATTGATTTCCTATTCATATGACAATTTCCTTTTTTCTATTCTGTTTTTAAGAGTTTTGTGGAACGAGAAGAATAACAATAGCTTTGCTTCTGAAAACTAACTACTACACAATACTCTGTAGAGTTTACCAAAGGTTACCTGTAGTCTCCAGATTTCACTTGCCATGACATGGAAGGAAGGGACTGGTGGACACAGCTGTGTTCACTTCACATTTCTCTCTCTCTCTCTCTCTCTCTCTCTCTCTCTCTCTCTCTCTCTCTCTCTCTCTCTCCCTCCCTCCCTCCCTCCCTCCCTCCCTCCCTCCCTCCCTCCCTCCCTCCCTCCCTCCCTCCCTCCCTCTCTCTCTCTCTCTCTCTCTCCAAGACAGAGTTTCTCTGTGTTGCTCTGTAGACCACACTGGCCTCGAACTCATAAAGATCCGCCTGTTTCTGCCTCCCAAGTGCTGGAATTAAAGACGTGTACTGCCACCGCCCGGCTTCACTTCACATTTTTGAGAGTGGAAGAAGTATTTGACAAAATCCTCACTTTTAAGGAACTGTCAAACTTAAAAATTAAGGTCTTTTTGGCTTATGCAAATATACAACTTTTGTGGAAAAATTGGTTGATTTACTGATAAAGAATAAATTTTAAAACAATCCTTCAGAATACACGCAATTTTACCATTTATTAAAGATTAAAGTTGCATATTACTCCCACAGCACAGGAACAAACTAAAAACTAAACTAAAAAGAGTCTATCTGGCAAGGGAAACTGTCAGGAAAACAAAGGTTTCCTGCTCAGAATGGGAGGAAGTCTCTGCCAGCTACTTATCTGACAAAGGCTTAAGGTGACAATATACTAAGAAATCAAAAAGTTAAAAATTAATAAAATAAAGAACCCAATTAAAAATGTGCAATGGAATTCAACAAAATCATTCCACAGCGATATGAACATGGCCAGGAAACACTTTAAAAGTGCTCACCATACTCAGTCATAAGGGGAGTGCAGATGAAAACTGCATTCCATCTCAGCTCAGTCAGAAGAGCAAGGAGAACAAATGCTGGTGTGAATGTGGCAAAAGGAGTATTCCTCCTTACACACTCGATGAGTATGGACTTGCAGACTGCTGGAGGTTTCTCAGAACACTAGAGGGCCAGCATGGCGGTGCACACCTTTAATCCCAGCACTTGAGAAGGAGAGCCAGGCAGATCCTGCTGAGTAAGAGAAGATCAGTCTGGTCAACGTAGGGTTCCAGCCCAGCTGGGGCTACAATGTGAAACCCTATCTCAAAACAAACTAAAACAAACTAACAGAAAAAAAATCAAGAAGCAAACTAGAAACAGATCTACAGGATGACCAGCTACACTGCTCCTGGGAGTATACCCAAAGGACTTCATATCCTGCTGTGGGGACACCAGACCTTGAGCAGAAACCCACTTCCCTACACAGCAGGTACGACATCCTGCTACAGAGACACTGGCATATCCAGGTTCTTAGCTGCTCTAGTCACAACCGCCAGGAAAAGGGATCAACCTAGATGTCCATCAACGTAAGAATAGATCAGAAAAATGTAGTTCATACACACAATGGAATTTTAGTCAGCTGTGAAAAAATGGAATAATGAAATCTACAGATAAATGGATGGAACTGGAAAAATTATTCCGAGTGAGGTAACCTAGGTCCAGAAAGACAAATACTGCAAGTTCTTTCTCGGGTAGATGCTAGCTTCAAATTTTTTGTGTGTATACCTTGGTGCTTCAGTGGGAACCATGAAACTAGAGAGGGGCAGAGGGTATCTCCCTGCAAGATATAGGTCAGGGAGGCCTCAGAAGCCTCCCAAGCAGCATAAGCTATTACCGTTGTCCTTGGTTACTGACCATCACTACATGCAAAGACTTTATTGCTGAAGACACTAGGCTTTGACTAAGTGACTAGAGACACCCATCTCAAACTGACCGGGAAAAGTGCCTGAAGGTGCTGAGCATACTGCTAGGAAAAGTCAGACTTCAGTGAACACAATCCTCAACACTGAAATACTAACTAGCCAGGCAAGACATATCTGGGGCCAGCAAGACGGGAAAAGACGCTTGCTCCCAAACTTGGTGAGCCAAGTTCAAACCCTGAGGCCCACATGGTGAAAAGGGAGAGCTAACCTTTTCAATTGTCCTCTGACCTCCGCGTGCACGCTGCGGCATATCCACAAGTCTAAGTAAGAGCCTTTATGTGGTACTATTCAAGGTTTGCAACACACGTCAAACACAAAAGGCAGATGAAAATACTTGTTTTTCCAGGGGAGGGTCTAGGTCCTGCTCCAAATGATATGACAGACTTTGAAGATCCCCCCCCATGGAAGGCCTCACCCTCCCTGGGGAACAGGAAGGGGATGGGATTGAAATAGGGGGTTGGTAGGGGAGGAGAGGAGGGAGAAGGAACTGGGATTGACATGTAAAAGAAGCTTGTTTCTAATTTAAATTTTTAAAAAGGAAAAAAATACTTGTTTTTCTTTATATTAGAAAAGAAAAAGCTGTAAGACCTTTCATAAGACTCATTATGTGTGACAATTATGTGAGACAGGTTGTTAACACATGTAAAATTACTTAAATAATTTAAGGAGTGAGAGGAGATTTTTTTTTTCTTTTTTGAGTTAGAGTCTGACTGAATGGCCCAAGGTGGCCTTGAACTCATAACCCTCCTGGCTCAGCCTCCCAGGAACTAGAGTTCTAGGCACACTCTACAATGCCCGGCTTCATCCCAGCATACTGTTTAGTGAAGGGGAAGCATTTCCTTAACAAGATCTGAGCAATACCTTGTTGTGACAACTGGGCCTTTCAGTGAGGCTAGGAGACTGAGGTCTGCTTCTGGGACCTGGCCACTCTTCCCCAATCAAGGACGTCCGCAGGGAGAGCTTGTTTAACTGCTGGATGTACAAGAAGAGCAGAAACTGCAGGGTGTCCACAGAAAGCTGTGCAGGAAATAAGGATGAACACACCTTAAAACCACTCATCACTAGTTTCCCTAGTTTACAACTGAGCACACAGTAAACTGGGACTACATAGCCTCTTGATCTTAAAACATCAGATTTAGAAACAGCTATCATTTGATGCCCATTTCTAGGTTATGTAATTGGAGTCACTTCATAGAAAGTTACAGGAAGTTTTTCTGAAAACCAACGTCCTTTCCAAAAGTATCACAGTGAAAAAGCAGCCTCAGTAATTCAAATAGTAAATGAACAGGTCCTATTTGGCAGGGCTGGGGCAACTGTACTTTCTGTAACTGTTTGATTCCCATCTTTCCAGAGACCTATATCGCCCTACCCATGGACTGGAACAAAATGCACACAAAGAAAGTCAGACATAGATAAATGTGACTTCCCTTGTATGCTGTAGTGTCTACCTTTTGTTACAGTGTAATGGAATATGCATGGTAGGCTACCTTGTAAAAGGAGAGTTGTTTTGGCTCACAGTTCTGGAGGTTTAAGTCATCCATTTAGCAATGGTCTTCTTCAGCCAAAGTCACAAGACGGCCTGGGGGTATCAGATGCCAAGAATGGGAGTGGCATATTATCTGTCTGTTCTCTCTCCTACAAATCCATCAATGTTAAGTCTACTCTAATGACCTTATCTAGTCCTAATCACTAAGCACTGTAGTTAGATTAGGTTTTGGAGTGTGATTTTTAAATTTTATTAGCACATACTCATTATAGGAAGCAACAGGCTTTGTTATGACACTATCCTACACATAAACCATGCATACTAGTAGTAGCTATATACTGCTAATCTTTTACAGTTGAAGATGATTACATTAGGCATATATACATTTTCTTTATTCACTTACCTGTTGATGGACAACTTGATTCTGTATTTGGGCTATGATGCAGTGTAGCAGTAAACATGAATGTCTACTACCCTTGGTATGCTCACTGAAGACAGACCCCCTTGGGCGCACTTTCATGCTGATTTCCATGGTGGCTGACATTCCCATCAGCACTATGTGAGGGTTCCTCTTTCCCCACATCCTCATCAGTACTCCTAGTCATCTGCTTTCTACAACAGCCATTCTGACAGTGTAAGTTGGATTCTCAAAGCAGTTTGAATTTGCATTTCCTTAATGGCTAAAGACACTTAACATTTTTCTCACATATTTAATGTCACTTAGATTTTTTTTGAGACTTGTTATCCAATTCATTTGCTCACTTATTGACTGTGTTGTTCATTTTGTTTCATTTCCTTAGTTCTTTATAGATTCTAGGTATCAACCCCATTAGATGTACAGTTTACATTTTCTCTCATTCTGTGACGGTCCCCTCACTCTTCTGAATGTTTCCTTCACTGTGCAGTTTTAAATCACACACAATCCCCAGGATCAATTCTTGAGCTGATGCCCTGTGCTCTCAGAGTCCTTCTCAGCAAGCCCTGTCTGTGTCTGCACCTTACGCTGTTCTCCCCTAACAGTTCTGGAGCTTCAGGTAGTTGATGCATTTTTTATTGGTTTTATTCAGAAAAGACAGTCTATTTTCATTTTTCTACACATGGATATCCTGTTTTCCCAGTACCACTCACTGAAGATGACACCAGTTTTCCCTGTGCTTTTGACATCTCTGCTGAAGATTAGGTGGCTATATCTGTGCTTGTTTTTCTCTGGGCTCTCTTCTCTACTATTCTACGTTTGCTTTTGTGACTATGGTTGCTTACTTTAATTTGTTACCAGGTATTACGACATCTCCAGCCTTGCTCCTTCGCTATGGAACTGCTTCAGCGATTCAGGATCTTTTGTGCTTCTATGTGATTTCTAAGATTGCTTTTCCTAGTATTATAAAGAATGTCATCAAAACTCTGAGTTGCATAGAACCTGTAGATCACTTTTGGTAATACTGCCTTTTTTTTTTTTTTTACACTATTACTCCTGTTAATCTGTGATCATTGGTGCCCTTTCTATTTTGTGTGTCTTCTTCAATTTCCTTCTTCAGTGTAAAAAGTGTTCACTGTAGAGGTGTTTCACCTCCTCTGGTAAGTTTATTCCAAGGTTGTCTGTTTGGTTTTCCCCCCCTATTTCTTTCTCAGCAACTGCATTCTTACTATATAGAAAAACTACTGGTTTTTATACATTGTTCTTATATTTTGCTTCTTTTCTGAAAATGTTTGTCTGGTGGAGTCATTAGGATCTTTTTATACATAGCATATATGCATTTTATTTGCGTTTTATTTTGAGACTAAATTGCCCAAGCTAGACTTAAATTCACTCTGTAGCCCAGGCTGCCCTGAACCAGTCGGTGATCCTCCTGTCTGTTTAACAGTTGGGATAACAGGCCTGCACCATCAGATCTTGCTCAGACTAAGCCTGTACCCTCTTAATCTCTCGTGAGGAGCATTAAAATTCAACATGGGATACCGTGGAAGACACTCCAACCATACTCAAACCACAGCACGACCAAAATCTAAGAGTTACAGCGACAGAAGAACAGTACAACAGTGACTGTCAAAGAGGTAGTTATCAAAAGCTAACCAAATTTCAATTACACAAGGTAATTTAGTTCTGCAGGTCTGTAACACAGCACCATGCCTCTAGCTAACAATGCTGTCATAAATATATAAAGTTTTCTTAAATGTTAAAACGTATGTGTGCTTAATACGTGCACTAGTAAAATAATAACAGATGTGGGAAAATTAGGAAGGTGACAGATAGTCTGGGCCTTCACAGTAAAGACCTATCCTCTGGCTCACCATGAGGGAGAAAGCAACAGTTTCCTCCCATTCTGTTGTTCTTCCCATCTGTGGTAAGAATAGACATGGTCTACAAGGAAGCAATTTCTTCTCTCTGTTAACCACAGCCTGAAAGAGAGCCACAGCTTGTGTGGCCTCTGTGTAAAATAAGCAGACGATCAGCTAATACTACCCTAAGCCATTGCATTTCATTGTCTTATTTCATATACCATCCCCACCCCCACCCTGTGCAGTGCCATTTAACACTAAGTGACTCTGAAATATAGGAACATGGCTCCTTGAGTCACTGCTTGGACAAGAGCCCAGAGGGTGATCCTATCAAGTGCAGCTGTGTAGGACTGTTGGACAAATGAGAAATAAGCTGTTATTGGCCCAAGCTGATGCTGCTATAATTAAACTACTATATATAACTAATATACTCTGTGAAGTCACTCTGACCACAAAAATGAGTCACTCTCAAGTCCACTTCTGAACTTTAATGTGTGACCTTTTCACTAACTTATGGAGTCCCTGGTATAGCAGAGATGCTGTCTGCTAAGGTTTGGATGTAGTTTGTCCTCCAGTGAGTCATGCGTTGACACTGGACCCCCAGGGTGGCAATATGGGGAGATGGTAGGACCAGGACTAGGTGAGGTCTAGTAGGAGGTCTCTATCTAGGTCTTGCTGAGAGTGCTGCCCTCAGAGGAGATACACTCTCCCAGGACTCTTGAGCTAGCTCTTGCAAGAGGGCTTTGCCCGCACCCACCTAGAGATTTATGGAAGGCAGAATTTATAGTGATGAACTGGGGTGCCAGGCAGAAGAAAAACTCAAACAACAAAGCAGTCAAGCTGTTCCAGGTTACCCTTTAACTTCACAAAGAAGAGTGTAGAGAAAAAAAAAGAGGAAGAAAAAGGGTGTAGAAGCACCATCTAAGAATAGAAAACATAATTTAAAAGGAAACAAAGCAAAAGGATTTGAAAGACTTGCAGGTCATCTAGCAAAGGAGTGAAGGAAAATCATGTAGGGGTGCATCCAGTAACCCTGCTAGAGAGATGAGCATGGGTGAAACGAGGCCAGAAGTATCAGGACAACAGGAAAGAGACCTGGGAGGGGCACACCTCAGAAGTCTGTGGGGCGATTTCTCCCACCACAGCCCAGTGCCTTAAAGGAAAGAACTGTTTCAGAGTGCCCAGAGTGCTCTCCATAAATTTGTATCTTTTGCTCCCTGCTTTCCAAAAGCTCAGTCTTTGGCCACCTTGGCTATGCTCAAGTAAGCCCAGGTACAGCTGCTAACACTAATCTAAAGGAGGAATCGTCAGCTTTTAGTCTAACATATACTGTAGGCATGCTTAATGTAAGAGCTACAGAGATATGGCAGCTTCCACCCAGATTTCAAAACAAAACTGAAGAGGCCACACAGAGCTGACTTAAGGATCCTGCTCAAAAGGGTCAATGCCTAATGAAACCGTAAGAATGGAACCACCACCAGGACTCTGTAACTGGGAACTGGCAGTCTACAATGCCAACCAGGGAAGGTCACAGTCATGAGACTCAGAACTGAAAGCTGAAGTATGGGCTGAGCCTAGCAAAGACATAGAGGAAGAACTGCATAAGGCTTTAGGGGTACAAGCTGAACCCAAGACAAGAGAATTTGGAGGTTTATCTACTTGGGTCTGCTCTGATGGCATCTGGATGTGATCTGGGCCAATTACTACTTTCTTTTCTTTCCCATTTTTGCTTTTTAAGATAGGGTTTCTTTGTGCAGCCCTGGCTGTCCTGGAACTCACTCTGTAGACTAGGCTGGCCTCAAACTCACAGAGATTCACCTGCCTTTGCTTCCCAAATGCTGGAATTAAAGGCCTGTCCCACTATATATTCAGAGTAGATAACTTGGGTTTACAGTCTCACAACTGAAGAGTTTGCCTTGAATCTCAAGTGAGACACTAGAGTTTTTAACTGAGGCTGGAATAAGTTAGGATTATTTACAGAGGCTAATTCTATCTATGAGCATATGAGCTGTGTGGAGCAGAGACAGAAGCAGAATGCTATGGCTTGAATATGATGTGACTATAGTAGCGGTGTAAAGGGAAGAGAAACTCCTGTACACAGACAGGAAAACAGTGTCTCTGACCGTGTGATGCCCTCCTGTATTCCTTCAGGTCTCTTCCAGCAAGAACGCTATAGCCCAGTGGCTCTCAACCTTCCTAATGCTGCAACCCTTTAATGCAGTTCCCCATGTTGTGGGGACCCCAATCATACAACTATTTTTGTTGCTACTTCATAACAGTAATTTTGCTCCTGTATGAATCCTAATGCAGATATCTGTGCTTCCCAATGGCCTTGGGTGACTGCTGTGTTTCCCAATGGTCTTGGGTGACTGCTGTGAAGAGGTTATCTGACTCCAAAGGGGTTGAGATGCACAGGCTGAGAGCCACCTCTACAGCTATGCATGTGGCCTCTCGACCTTGGATCTCCAGAACTATGAGCCACAATAAAGCTCTTTAAAAACAGCCGTGTCTGTGGCACTGTCTTATTAGCAACAGAAAATTGGCCAATTGATACACACTCATGGTAATTATTTAATTCTATTGTACAGCAGATGTTATTTTTAAACAGTCAAGATAGAATCAGGTGGCTGAGAAGGTGCAGGCATAGACTTCTATAGAATCAGCTGCCTCTGCCCGTAACATCAGCAGTTCACTGCCCCAAAATATTTTTAAAGTCAATGGAAGAGCTGCCAATTCGTGGTTCCTTCAGAAGTGGGGAAATATGGGCTAGTAAGTAAAAAATACTAATTAGCTGATCACCTGCATCAAAACACTTCCAAGATGGAAATACTAACATTCAAATGGCACCCTAAAATCATAATTGCCAACAACATAAAACCTCAAACTATACTGCTAGTATAAAAATTAAGAACGAATTATTTCTCAAAGTAACTACATACACATCAGCCCATACCTGATTTCTTTGTTTTTCAACTTCATCTTCGGTCATGCAGTTGGACAAAATTTCAGACCATTCCAGGCGTTCCTCGGGTGTCTTCACCGAAAGATTATCAAATATTTCAAAGTAAAGCCATGCCAGCTCCTTGGCCAGCTGCAGTTTTCCACATGCAATGTGTCTCCATGTAGCCCAGTACAGGCGCGGGTAGGCGCCTTCTGTAGCCCGAGTCCGCACATAGGCTGCTATCTTCCTGAGGTAGTGAAGACTGAATTTGGATGGAGGTGGCACTTGCAAGGCACCCACTATAAAAGGTTCCGCCTTTACCCAGAGGAGAACTCCGGACTGATCCATAGTATCTCTGAAGACATCAGGACAAACAGGCTTCTTTGCATACCTGGGAAACAAAGTTTCTTTTCAGACATGAAACAAATCTCATTCACCCCTTTTCTTGGAAAGTGATCCCCCTTAACTGTTTTTAAATGTGTCATATCCTCAGTTTAAAAGCAGCTCTGGCCCTCACCAAAAGCAAAAAGGACTTCTGGCCAAACTCCATTGCAATTTATTTCAAAAACCAGAAAAACAAAGTAACTATGAGTTCATTGTCCTATTTAAATTGTTTGAAATGGTTGTTTTAGAAAAGTATGTAAATGCATACGTCTAGGTTATATTCCTGCCTAGAGAAGGAAGAAAAAGAATGGTATGTGTGTATGTGTGTGTGGGGTGTCATCCCGTTACAGGATACTATGCTGCATCCCGCAGGGAAACATTGGTAGAAATTAGTGGAATAAATTTTTACAGTAACATCAATTACACCTAGAAGACAGTTGGTTAATACAGGACCAGAAAGACAGCTCAGGGATAAAGGCTCTTGCCACCAAGCCCGAAGACCTGAGTTCAGCCCCCCAGGACTCGCATGCTGAAGAGGGACACCCATTTCTGAAGTCTATCTTCAAATCCCCACAGCTCCTCACACCCCCAACTAAATAAGTAAAATTAAAATGACAAATTATTCTTAGAGATCTAAATATGTAAGCTGATCCCAAGGCTCGACACCAAGCCTTAATTACAGGTGGCAGACAAGACTGTGAATGTAAGCATGGATGGAGGAAAGTGAACGCATCAATGGACCAATTCTCTGTAGCAGCGAGCAGGCTCTGCTGCGCTGCTGTGCTCAGTCCAGGTACAGCACCTGCAGAGCTGCTAGACACAGTAATACAACGCAAGTGGGGGCCACTCAAATGCCCACCACCAAAGGGGAATTAGCTCATGTCTGATGGTACTTCCTTGTCTTTTTTCTAGATTGGAGGCTACTTTGATTTTGAATGTTCCTGGTTGTGGTACATACATACAATTCCGTATTGTTTTCAAAGTATCTCGGCATTCCAAATGTACTCCAGTTTACTTTCAACACTTAACAGTTTCCATTTTTCATAAAAACAAGATGGGCAAAATACTGATGATTGTTGATATTGATGGACAAAGGGACCATCTACCTCTTACTCTCCTATATATTTTAAATTTCCATTTTAAGCTGGGCAGTGGTGGTGCAAGCCTTTTATCCCAGCACTTGGGAGGTAGAGGCAGGTGGATCTATGTGAGTTCAAGGTCAGCCTGGTCTACAGAGTTGAGCTCCAGAACAGTATCCAAAGCTACAGAGAAACCCTGTCTCGAAAAACAAACCAAAAAACCCTCCCATTTTTAAGAGTTCAAACATTTAAACTATAACGTTCTGATTATCATCTTTCTTTATTTATACACTATGAATTGCTTCCCAAGGAATTTTAGATGTGCATTAAAAACAATGGAGTTTCTGGGATTCCTGACATGTAGCTCTTCCCAAAGCAATCACCACACTGCATTACCATCTAACCAAACATCCACTGAGCACTGCTTAGCATTAACATCATTTGAAAAGAATTTTCAGTAGGACCAATTAGAAATGGTGTATTATTGCTTTTTGAGAAAGCAGCAGAGATGGCTCAGTGGTTCAGAGCACTGACTGCTCTTCCAAGAGGACCTGGGTTCAATTCCCAGCATCCATACAGTGGCTCACAACCTCCAGTCCTAGAGGCTCCAACACTGTCCACTGTGGGCACTGCACTCACATGTTACATAGTCCTACAGGCAGACAAACATCCATACACATAAAAACAAATATAACTGGCAGCGCACTTATGTGCCCTCGGGGAAGGTATACAGGAAGCAGGATGCTAAAAGCCGCATCTCATCTTTCATTCTGAGAAGTTAGGGGATTTGTCTACTATGTTTAGTTGGCACACTCTGGTTTGGGGTTCTGGTGTGCTTTGTGAACTTCATGGCTACAACTTTGGGAAGTCATACAGGGAAAAATTCTAAAAATGAGTGGGTCTAGAAGAGAATGACAACCCAGACACGAGGTCTTTAAACATCAGATGGAAGGTCACAGAAGGATGTGGGGAGGTAAATGTCTATGGCAGTCCGGTCCATCCAGGAAAGACTGAGCACAGGGAACCCTCAGTTTTCTCTAAAATGGAAACAGGGTGTCTTCGAGGCAACAGGTGCCTGATGCTGCCGACCCCTGTGCTGTGACTGGGCTCCACAGGGGCAGTTGGAAGGCACAAACCCGGGGTTGGGGGAGGGGGCTGCTACCTGGGCGGGGAAGGCTCGGGCTGGCAGGGCACGGGCCGGGACGCTCCCCGAGATCTGAAGCCTGCGCCCAGGTCCCGCGTGGAGGCGGAACAGCCAAGGGCGCGAACCGAGTCGGGGTCCGGGGCAGCCAAAGCCCCTGCCCGGAGGCCTCTGGATAGCTCCAGCGCAGCACTCACCACCACCCCTCTCCGCAGCCGCAGCCTGAGCGTACCCCTCGCCCACCCCGCCGGGGCGCAGTGCGCAGGCGCCAGGCCTCCCACCATAGAGCCCTGGCGGACCGCAGCTAGATCGGCCAGCGCTTTCCAACCTGGAGCAAACTGGTTCCTGGGGCTGGGAATTTTGTGGCGCTGCGCCCTTCGGCCATGGAGTGGGAAGTTTCCTGTGGCCCCAGAGAACTGTGGTCCTCCCACGCGGCTGGTGAAGTTAGCGCTGTGTTGGCTAATTACAACGCAGTTTAGACCTACTCAGGGGAGGGTTCGTGTCTTAGGCGCTAATCCGAAGTATGGAAAGGCGAACTAGGCAGTCCTAAGGTCTTACAAAGCCAGAAGCTGAAGCGAGAGCCTTGGCTTTAACTCCTTAATTCTCCTAACTTTCCAGTCAAGCTACAGCCTTCAAGAAGCTTTTTTAGATACCACCCAGAAGATGGGCAAGGAAGAACATTTCCTGTTTGTTGTTGTTTGGTTGGTTTTGTTTGTTTTTCGAGACAAGGTTTCTCTGTGTAGCCCTGGCTGTCCTCGAACTCACTGAGATCTACCTGCCTTTGCCTCCCAAGTGCTGGGATTCTTTACAGCTTCTCTAGGGGTGATAGTAGACCATAAAAAGTAATAGTTACTGCCAGTGGTGGCACACACCTTTAATCCCAGCACTCCTGAGGCAGAGGCAGGTGGATCTCTGAGTTCCAGAACAGCCGGTGCTACACAGAGAACCCCACACACATACACACATACAAAGCTATATAGTTCCTCTTTAAGTTCTCGCTTCCCAGTGAGAGAAGGGCCCCAGTCTAAAACTGCACAGTAATCTCAGAAGAAAAACATTTTCTAAGGAGAAGAGGGACACCATGTGTGATGGTTAATTTTTGTCAACTTGACAGCATTCCTCCATGGTTTCCATTTGGCTCCTGCATCCCTGGTCTTCCCTCCATAAAATGGACTATTACCTGTAAGTCACATAAGTCCTTTCCTCCACAAGTTGCCTTACATCATAGTGTTTACCACAGCAACAGAAAGCAGACTAAGACACCAGGAAAACCCTCTCAACAAAAGAGGAGCAGAAACACAGAACAAATGTCCTGAGACTATGGAACACAGACTATTCAGCAAGTGGGAAGCCTAGTCAGAGCCAGAGTATCCAGCATTAGGAAGAACCTGCCAGTATCTGCCACTTGGCTCATGAGGGCAGCCTAGCACTGAGAAGAACAGCATTCACAACCTGACCCATGAAGGACTGCCCAGAAGCCTGCCCACTTTTGTGACTCCTCTTGGGAAGGACAGCCAACTGACAGGACGTTTTTTGTGGCCCAACCTTGCAAATTACAGTCTACAGGTGTGCCAGGCATCTGAGAGCCTAGAAAGAGACACAGAATCCAGGCTGACACCAGCAATAGTCAAGAGACTGCATTCAGTCTGAGCCTCACCCAGGCTCCTCCCTTTTACGTTTATCCCTTTATTCAATACCCAGGCTCAATTTACAGGCCAGTGTTCTTTGTTCTCATCCTGTCTTTTTTCCCTCTCTTATTTCCTTTCCCACCCTATTTTGATAGGCTTTCTTAAGGAACACAGGCTGGCCTGTTTGGTGGGGTTATTGAAGGTTATGTGACTACAGTTTTTACCTCTCTTTCCCTTCCATCTTTAACCCGAACGCATCCTCTCCCCTTTTGTCTCCACTGCTTACTCCTGCTATTTACTTTCCCTCCTCCATTTTTTGTTTGTTTTTTGAAGACAGGGTTTCTCTGTAGCTTTGGAGACTATCTTGGAACTCTCCCAGTAGACCAGGCTGGCCTCGAACTCAGAGATCCGCCTGTCTCTGCCTCCCTAGTGCTGGGACTAAAGGCATGTGCCACCACTGCATACCTCCTCTATTTTTTAATCAACCCAGTACTGATCATATTTATTAGTTGTTGTGGACAAGCATGGAGTGGCTATTGGCCTCATCAGCTGTGACCACCTGCAAAAGACCTGCTCAATATTGGGTTCATTGGTGTTCTGCAATGGAGGGTGCGAAGGCTCCTGAGGCCTGCCCCTCCCTGAGGATAGACATTTAACGGTTGCTAGGATGCAAAGCCTCAAGAAGTCTAGCCCTCTCTGAAGATACACAGGCAGTGAACAACTACTAAGAGGGAGAGATTCTCCTCAAGAGGCAGTCTTTTGTAAGTTGCCTGTGCTCTTGTTGACCCTCACTCATGTTACTTTAAGTAACCCCAATAAATTCAATGGTTACTGTGTTAGACTTGTGTACAATTGGCTTTTGCTATTGTTGGTTTGTTATTGGTTCCCTATCTGCCATAAACAGACATCTATTCATGCTTCCAGAAAAGTTCACACAATACTTGTTGCCCAAACCTTTAGCCTGATGGGACCAAAGATGACTTCATAAGGAGCACTTGCACTGTCTTTGAAACTGGCTGTTTGAGGGTGGAGATTACACATGAATAGCCTTCCTAAATGCAGCACATGGTGGCATGTCTTCCAGTGTACCTGCTGTGGAGAAAGGACATACCACTAAATCTGCTGTGTCTAAAGGATGGGCAGTGTGGATCTTAAGGTG